GATAGACCATCGGTACTTTCCTACACTGTACATATGTCGGAGACACGTGCTGGTCATGGGGATTGGTATGCTCCATTGCCAATAATGAACGGGTGACCTGACATTAGTTATTACAAAATATGGGAGCAGTTACACAAGTTATAAAATGGGAACTAACGGTCCGCCACTATTAGCCCTAGCAACCTGTTCACTACTTTTCTGTTAAAACAATAATAATAATAATAAAAACCACACGGCTATGGTTGTTTCATCAATTGAATGATGCGGTTGCTTTCCGAGTTTTCAGTTTTGTTCCGTTCACAAGGGTGTTCCCTTGTGGGTTCCTCTATCCTATCAGTTTACTTTTTACCAGACATGACCATATAAGAAAGTGTTTACAAAAGTTAGAAAATAATGGTCTTTCACACACAGGCTAAAACTAAATACCTAAATACCTAAATACCTTCAACATTCCATCGACGTAATAGTTCCTCTAGTGGCTACGAAGTAGCGCCGGTGTTTATAAGTGGTTGCAAGAGTAATGCCGACATATACTACTGAGAGGAATGTACTCTGTGAATTAAATATGTTTTTTAAGTATAATAAAATACTACTGGCACAACAGAATGAGTCACAACAGGTAGTGTCAAACGTTAAATCAATCTCAAGACAATAATAGAGATGAATTGTTAAGATATAAGTATTATCAGTTATAAGAACTACTTAGGCAAATTTGGTACAAGAAACCGAATGTGAGTCATCGATTAAATAACACTTATGTTTATTTCAGTATTTGGGGCTAATATTTTGAGTATCGGTAATCAGATGATGATGATTATGAACAGTCTGTATTGTATTTTATAAGACGGATTAGTTAACTAAGTCCTAACTCAGAATATTGGCATTTATCTATAAGATTATAATCATTAGTGAAATACTGACAACAAAGTATTGGACCTAAAGCGTGAATAAAATGTGAAATACTTAACTAATATTAGACCTACGGTCTATTTTTCAGTGGACATGTGCAGCATCCTCCTAGCAATTTATAACTTGTTTTTACTTTTTTCGTAAACCTGAAATATGAGGTGAAAAAAATCAGGTCGATATCTTGAATATTAAGTGTGATAAATAATGATTAGTTCATCCAATATTTGTAACGACCACACCACTGGAATGGCTCGACGCGACGCCGACGCATATATGCGACCTTTGTGCCAAAAGAATCAGTTAAGGGTTGTTTTATTCAAATTTTTACTTAACTAAATATCGTACACTGAAAATAGTAAATAAGTAAAAAATACGCATCACTATATCACACAATACAAGTCAATTTTACTGAAAAATTATATTCCTGCAAATAAGGTTTAAAAATCACTCCTATGGTTGCAAATATGGAATCTGTAGGATTAATGTAACTGAACTATAAGATAAAGCACTTATCATGTAGTATACACACTTATACAGAGCCTTCAAAAATGTTTGCAAGCCACGTGACCTCCGAGCTCAGGCAACCCAACAATGCATGATTGGTATTGGTAACGAAAATTCCCCAAATTTTGGCGGCACCAATATTAATGATTCGTTTCCAATGAACAATGATAAACCTTTATGTCTATGCTCGAGATAATGGGATCGCTAGTTGGTTGAATGGAATCTCGTGAAAAATTACACCAATCATAGCCGTTGAAACAGGTATATTGTGTTTTAATGTAATCTTGATCTTATTGTTCTATTTCTACCGAAATTTATTTGCCAACGCGAAGGAAATTAAATTACTGGTTCCGTGGCTTGTAATCATTTATGAAGAACAATAGATGAACGGGACAAGTTACACGCCACTTATTCCCTTTCTGCATCACGTATGCGATTCGTTCTGAAGTTCTGATCAAACACTAAGTTGTCAAAATCTGTTTCCTCTTCCGAACAAATCACATATTGACGCTTGTCCCCTTCTATGGTCAACAATTCTATTTAACGTTTCGAAAAATCAATCTTTTTTTGACGTTTATTTTTTAATTACGTTCGTTAATTTATATTTATTTTGTTTATTTAGATACATATATCATATTGTACCCTTTCTCAGGTACAGACGTATTTAATAGAAATGACAAAACTCAGTTACGCCTTTACATGTTCTCATACATGGTGATTCAGACAAAACGTTTAAAGGAAGATAGGGGAGAATATGAATATGAGATAAAAAATAATAATAATTGCAGATAAAAACATTTTTCAAATCATTATCCGGCCCGCTGTTGACCGCTGACCCATAAAGGTTTATGGAGTGAATCTTGATCTACCGTAATATTCGGTCATTAACCTAGCTTTTAACATGTTTTTAATCCGTAGTGAATGACAACGAAAATAATTTTCACCATTTTACAATTGAATATGAGTTTTTAGTATTATGTTCAATTAATTATTCAGTTTGTAGTACGTATACCTAGTGACTTCTTGCTTATTGCTGCTACCTACCAATTTAGGCATGGCTAAAAAAACACTCGCTCATTTGTCCATAGCAATTTGTTAATAAAATTGGGATCTGCAGCACTTTGATTTTGAAATCAATTACAAAGTTCAAGACGACAATCAGCTGTTTCGCTTCAACGGTCGAACGCTTTGTAATCCGCCGGCCGACACGTTCCCTGTTGATTATTTCTTTATTTTTTAAAAGGTCAAGTAATTTTTTTTCGATCTTTATTTGACCTTCCGAATACATGGTTAAAACTAATAATATTAGACTGAATGACCCTGTATACGGTAGTATATATCTAGCAAAAAATAGCAATAATCAGTTATGTTCATTATGTAAGAAAGGGAACGATATGATGTACGCGAGATCAATGAAGTATGTGGACTAGCCACTAATATGTGGTATGACGTCACAACATGGCTTCTTGTGTTTTCCCGCGCTACGTTTTAATTATTACTAGTTGAAAACTAACTTTTGAATATGAATTTTTTAAAATATGTTAAATTAACCAGTTGTGTCATTTCCACTTAGAGACTAGATTGGATAATTTGACTTTCTTTTTATAAATTTCTAAATAATGATTTATTTAAGAGTTATTTACGTCTGAAAAATATAATACTAGATATTGAATTTGTGAAAATATTCATGCATTCGATGGTGGAACTTTTGTCATGTTATTGAAGAAAATGTCATTAACACAAAAGAGAATCCAGCTAAATTATAAAAATGTTATACAGTAAGACCACAATAATACAGAAGAAGTATTTTGACCATAGACCACCTAGACTGGCTGTATCTAATTCCAACGGGTACGAGTGAATGCAAATTGCGGGGAAGTGGAGTGTGCGAGGTAATCTGACCGCGCATACTTTGGACAGGTCCGAATTAAGCAATATTTTTACACTTATGACAAAGATTCATTTTTCCAGTTTGGAATTCAGAAAATAATATATTTTAATGTCTTGCTTATATTAGATAAACCTACAAAATAATTTAAATATACAGTGTAGGAAAGTACAGATAGTCTATCAGAAGTTACGTGAGAGCGATAAAGTAAGCCATAGAAATCCATGTGATAGACAAGGATGGCTATAATGAAGGCGTCTAATAGTCAACGCCCATTTCGCCCTTCCACAAATAAGAAGTGGATCTTATGATTTTGACTATAAAATTATTATTGAAATTCAGCTCCACTTTTCCAACAGTAAATAAAATTATCGTTAATTAACACGAAAACCCTAATCCAGTTAAAAAATTTAAATAACGCATATAGGTGTTGTGATTTGATCACGAAAAGATTTTATTATCAGTAAGACGCGCGGTTATCAGTTTTATCAGTTTTATCATTAGTTCCCAACAATTTACGGTCTATCTTTTAACACGGAGTATTTTTTAAATCGGAGCTAATAAAAGACGTGTGTTATAGGCGGTACAGTGTAAATAGTATCGCTGTTGCTGTTATTAGTGAAACAATTGGAATACAAAAAAAAATGCGATCTCAGAATTGTAATCAAGGTACTGCTCATGTTATTTACTGTATTTCTGCTATTATAAACTGAACTATCCCGGATCAAGGTCAAGGGTTTATAAATAAACGTTTGGGTTCGACGTTTGGATTCCATCAAAATGTTTAATTTGTTTTTATTATTGTTTATTTATTTTCTTTTGCCGTGCCCTCTAACGTGTCCTAGGGTGTTATGCAATGAAATGAAATAGCTAAAATACTGATTACTAAATCGCATAATACAGGCAATAATATACGGTCTATAAAATTGGTAAAAACAGGTGTTGTTGCCTTTGGCCAAAACAATTTTCTGTGTCTTAATTATGATGACGGCATTCTCGATTGCTTTTAACATGGATAATAAAATTTTTATTCTCTTCGTATTCGCTGTATTACCTAATGATTTCTTCCAGTTTGTGCCACTAATATTACAAGGTTGAAAATATTTATAAAAAAGATGTATATGAAGTAAATATCAAGATACCTAGTTGTTTTTTAAAATATTTTTTAATCTAAAATATCAATCATCTTGTTTTCAAAGGATTAATAAACTACGTTTAGTTTATAAAACATTGACATCTATAAAATTTTTAATTTAATAACTCAATTTTTATACTATACAAGGTGTTCCATAGTGTAACATTTTGGAAACAGACTCACAATCAGGTCTAAGACTAAAAAACTAACCAGTGGTTGGCCGACTTTATTCTTCTGAAGTTACAAGCTTATCAAATTATGAAGAGTAATTAAACTGATTCAAATTTGTAAACCAAATAAAACTAAACCTATCTGGAAATACAGTGCTCTAGATTTTCTTCTCTGGGGATATATAAGATTTAGTTTATGAAACCGACAGTCACTTCCTGCACAACAGTGATATTTTAATTAAGAGGAACACAACGGAAGACCTCCGTAAACAAATTTTAGGATTTCAATTTAGATTTCTTCACCATATAACGTATATGACGTAATACTTACATATATATAATTTCAGGTAAAAATTTGCCCTAACCCAAAATTTAAAGTTGTTTTTTTTTTCAGCGCCTGTGATATTAAAACAACAAGCTCGTATAGAGAGGTTGAGAATAGAACTGAAAACTGAAAAAGCCAAATTGGTGATTATGAAGCAAGAAATTGCTGATTTAGAGAAAAATAGACTAAAAAGGGAACGCACGATTGACGCTGAAGTGGAGAAGCAACTTTTGATGGAAATCAAACATCTCAGATGTCAATGTGAACAACTGGCTCTAGCAGATAAGGGTGGTAAGTTTAATTTAGAAATAGAACCTAAAGCCAAACACCTATTCTTTAACACAAGATATAATTCCAAATAAAATTCGGTACCTACATTTCGTTAGATAGAAATAAGTTGCAGTAATCTCATACAACTGTAGTATTTCTCTTTTATACAGTGGTGGAGATGCATGAGATAATTAAGTTTAAAAAGTACTCGTCATTTTTAGAAAAATGTTTTCTTGTGATAAATTAGATTTCGAAAAATACCTACTATAGATTTTTAAATTCTGTTGATAGGTACATGAAAGCAATTAAAATATAAGGCAATAGATTGTAAGAAAAGTAGAGCTAGGTCTATCTTATGTCATATTTAAGAACTTGAAGAATTTGAGTTAATAAAGAAATATGTTCATTCCTAACCCGAAGTCAATTGAGTTTAGCGACAACATTCTTATCAATAATTTATCATCTTATTTTAATCGATATAATATCAACATAATTTGAATGCATTCCATATGATACTTACGATTTTCGAAGCACGTGTTTTTTTTTAATAAGCTTGAAAACATATGGCCAATTTTGTCGCAAAGTAAAAATTTTTCTAAAATAGCATTTCAAATATCACAAAAAAACATATTGTTTGTGTACCTTGAGGGTTGCTTTCGCTGTACAGCATAAATAAAACGCTTTCTCAACGGTACAAATGTACAAGTATTTTTATTGAAAACTAAACTTGTGGAAAAAGAGGTGTTGTCGGTTCGAATTTTTGCTGGAGAGTCCCTCTTGGCTGGAGTCGCTCGCAGAAGTACCTGGATTTTGGCGCCAATCTGCCGAGGTCGTCTTCCGGAAACCTGGTGCGTCCGGGCGGCGCCGGCGTCTCGCTGGCACTCTTGATGTTGTACTTAAAAATGGGTCACATGCGAACATGTGTACCCACAACCTCATAATCCTTCATAAAGAAATATTTTTCCAAAAAAGTTACGAACAAGTTTTTTAGATAAAATAAACAATCAGTTAACTTTGCATCTCTGCCGATGTGGAAAAAAAAAACTGTTTTTCTATGCCGAATTACATTTGGATCTTGTAAGTCGTTTTGCAGTTACTCACTTAAAAAAATATTTGTTTTTGGCAGTATCAATAAAACTGTAATTTAATTGAGTTTTTAATTCTTGTCAAGCTAAAAAGAAAAAGATATTTTAAATAAAAAAGTAACAAAAGTATGTCACATAAATAGATAATTACAGATAACTACTTTTTATGTCACTTGATTTCTTTTGGGCTCATATTTTAAAATCGTTTTGTATATGTATTTCATTAGTAAAAAACTACAGTAGAAGAAAAAAATAGTGCCTAACTTACCTGCCTTTGTGCAGAAGAAAATATAAACCAGATAGATTCATATTTGTTAATATCACATTTCATGCATTTTGAGATGAAATATTCAAATTATCAACAAAGTGTATTATCTATTTCCTATCAGGATTCTGCTTATTCCCTCAGAGTGAGCATAAATGTATTTATTTTTGTACGTAATAAAGATAAATGTATTATAGTTATGAGATAACTTATCTTTGGTAGATGTAAATGTCATAACTAAATATAAATTTACACAAAAAAGCTAAAACCCAATTCACAAGAAAAATGTGGTAAAATTAGATTACCTACTTTGTGATGATTTATGACATTCATTAAGATAAACAGTGGTTATTCAATATGTCTAACATTAAAAAAAAAACAAAAAGTTTGAGTCTTCTAATTTTATTTGTTTTTTGTCACATTTTAATATATTTTTTACATTATTCAAACATTGGCTGCTTTGGGCACTTTGTTTTGTGTAACTCGTTCAATTTATCAGTAACCGCAAAATTTTATTATACAGGGTGTTAATTAAGTATGTACAATAAATTCAACAGACAATTATTTGAGTGATTTTAAGACAAAAAGACCATATAAACATTGGTCCGCAGATGCTTCGTTTTCAAGAAACTTTTGTAAAAAAATAATTTACTATTTCGTAAATATCTTAAACACCCTTTACCCAATTTTGTAGTAATTTTGCAGTGTTACTTATAGTGTTAAGAGGCTAATTTAATCCTAACTTGATTAGATTTGTTAAATCCAGTGGCGTCCCGAGCAGAACCTTAACGAATATCCGGTTTTATAAAAAGTTTTTTGTTAAAAAAATTCATTTATGTTTTAAATTGTTTAAATACACACCAAAACAATACGCTTACACATGTTGGCTTAAACACATAAACATCGTTCTTTTGAACAATAAACTTTTAAGGCTTGTCTATACAAAGCAGCGTCTATGCAAAATAAGTAGTGCTTGTTTTCTGGTACACTTACAACTTTTTAAGTACAGGCTCTGAAAATTTATTAGCCCAAAGAACGATGTTTACAAGGTATAAGCCGTTGTGTTGAAGTATCTTGTTTTGTAGCTTATTTCTTTTTTTATCAAACAAAATTTATTTTATACAAAATCATGCCTTCTCTACCAAAATATAATATTTTATAGTTATTTTTGAGACTTGGTTCAATTTCCTATACTCGTTAAACCACAAGCAAGCTGAATTCGCTTTCCCCGCCTAAATCGCTTTTCTGTGGTTTTACGAGTATTGAGCTCGCTTTCCTCCGTCTATCTGAGGTTTAACTCATTTATCTGTGGTTTTACGAGTATTGAACTCGCTTTTCCTCGCCTATCTGCGGTTTAACTACGATCAATTCACTAGGGAGTTTTTGCATATCGGTTTTAAGAATACCGTAAACGATAAAGTCACGTGAGAGGGCATTGCGCATGTGCGACAGTTACCGTTGGCGTTTATCGTTACGTTATTCCGATATCCAACCCAGATTACGGTATTAGTTTACCGTGCATTTAGGATAGTAATTTTGTGTACGAATAATAATCCATCCATTTTTCTTTCACTTGCCGACTGCCTTTTACCGCAAAAGTATCAAATGAAAGCATAACCGTCAGAATTGAGGTTAGGACACGCTTTACCATTGCGAATAAACGACACGATATGCAAAAACTGGAAGCATTCAGTACACGCTATTTGTCAATACGGTATTCAGTCACGTGTTTTTAACGTTTATCGTATTCGTAAATAGGGAGATTTTAGGCCACCTAAAATGTATGGAACGTTATTCGTTAAACGTAATACTGATCATGCGCAGTTAATGAAAAATAAGGGCCCAAATATTTCGTTAATTCAGTTTTTATACCAGGATTTACCTTGACAATTCCGTTAACCGTAAACGTAACATATAACCTGTATTATTAATATTATTCAAGGCATAGAACCTCACTTTTATGTTATCGATACACGCTACCACTTTAATTACATCAAGTATTTGATTACATGTACATATTATGGCTGCTCTGGAAAATAATATTGAAATAGTAATTAGACGTAAAAATTTGGCGTTGCCAAGTTATATACTTTATTGAGAAAATTTTGTCGGATATCTTATATATAAAACGTAATATACAACCTACAGTCGCAAACAGAAAGCGTGTACTTATAATGTATGTATAGAATATATTAATTAATAATTAACAAAATTAATAAGCATATCTTCCCTGTAAATAAGATAACTGTTACATTTGGCAATGGTGTGTATACCGGTACGCGTATTAGCGTAATTCCAACTTAAATTAGGGACAACGTTATCGGTTATTAAAGTTATCGTTTATTTTCGAACTACTGCGCATGATCAGTATAACGGATAACGTTTAACGTTGTTCAAATAAGTGGCTTAAAATCTCCCTAATATCTTATGCAAAAACTCCCTATTGTCAGTATTGTCACAAAATAACGCCAATACCTGCAAAGCAGAACATTTGCCACTGTTTTGAACATGATTATTAAAAATTAACATTTTTTTAGAGGAAGAGTTCTATCAAAACATATACACAGGTCAGCAAGGACCTTTGACCGCAGACGTGCCAATAGTGCGAACGAGGCAACCCACCAGAAGAAGACTGTACTACCAGGGACCCACATTGCTCCCCCATCCGGAAATAGAGGGCCCCAAGTGGAATTGCGGTGTATGTACATTCCTGAACCATCCAGATTTGGATAAATGTGAGCAGTGCGAAATGCCCCGAATAGTACACGGTACGAAACACGAGGCTTTTAACCGTAACCTCAGTTTTGACACCATCCGAATGCTTAACAATAACAACTTTGACTTTAATCAAGCAGCTAGATCTCTGAGCTACAGTGTTCCTAATAACGTCAGTAATAACATTAGCAATGCCGGCTTGTCGCTAACTAGACCCCTAGGATTTGTTTTGGACCATTCCGGGCATCCCTTGAGTTTGCCCGGGCATGTAGTTAATAGCCATTCGGCCCCCAATAGATTAAATGAATACCTAGGAAATGCTAATCAAAATTTAATTAGCAATACAGTGATTAATAGACAAACACACCGATAAATAATAGTTACTTTTTAAATAGAGTTCTAAACAATTATACTGTCTCAGTCTCTATTCTGTAGAGATTACGTTGACAGAAAACTTGTGTATTTGTGGATTTCTATTATATCTAGGGATCACAAATGGACAATTGGAGCGGTGAAATGTTGCTCATTCACGAATAAAAATTAGTAAAATTACATAAGACCGTAACGATGTTCAGGGTATGAAACATAACCCTGATCATCTAAATTTGGAATTGATATATTTATAAAGGTAAAATACTATAAATGATTAAGTGCTTATGTAACAGTTTTGTACTAGATAGAGAGTTTATTATTTTTATTATAGATTGTTTTTGAACACATGTTTACAAAACAAATATGATATATAGGGTGTTTGTAAATAAGTGCGAAATATTTTAGGTGTGGTTGCTGAAGTTACTTTGTAAAAAAAAGTTCATATAAACATAGGTTGAAATATGCTTTTTTCCGAGATACAGTTTAAATTTTATTTTTTTATTTCTTCTTTTTAATTATTTGTGACATAAAGATATTAACTCGAAATTTGAAAAACGCTTTGGAGGGATAAATGTGCATTTAAACAAAACCTACAATAAAATATGTTTTATTTTTTTCCCAAAAAACGGTGCATCCTACGAAAAAAATTGAAGAGACCAATTTCATTCAAAATTGATTGTGGATTTCTAAAAAAATATCAAAACGGGAAAAAGTCAGTGGTGTACCATTTTTTTACACCCCAAAAAAATGCACATTTATCCTTCCAACGCGTTAAATTTCAAGTCAATATCTTTACAACTCTTTGAAATAATTAATAAAAATAAATAGAAAATTAAAATTTAAACACTGTATCTCGGAAACGAATAAGCATATTTCGATCTACGTTTATATGAACTTTTTTTACAAAATAACTTCAGCAACCACTCCCTAAAATATTTCGCACTTATTTACAAACACCCTGTATAAAAAAAATACCTACAATATGAAACTGAAATATGGTAATATAAACACTTACAGCATACTTTCTTATAAGACTAGAACTATGCCTTATTATGATAATAAAAATATGAATAGTCCAAAGTATTCCATAGTTTTAAACGTAGACATATTTCCAAAAAACAGATTTTTGATGACAATATTTTACAGTCATTTGTAATAAAAATTAAAAAGCAATAATTAACAGGTTTTGAAATTATATTTTGATAAAACTTTTTATAAATTGACACAAATATAAAATTTCCTTAAAAAAAATGTCTGTGATAACAAAAATAAAAGAAATTAAACCCAATTTGTATAAATATGCATCAAAAGATTTCCAACAGGAAACAAGCTAGATTCTATTTGTTATTTTCAAGCTAGGAGTCTCATTTGTATTAAGCTGCCTACAGCTAACAAATTGTGAATCTGCAAATTAATCTTAGAATCTGGCAGACCTTAAATTATTTACAAATGAAAATTAAATTTACATGGATTTATACTATGTATGTGTTGTTGAGTTTGTTTTAAATAAACGTTACCAAATTAACCTTATATTTTTTATTTTTGTAGTTTCTGCGTCTCCAGGAGATAATATTCACATTCATGTTACACCCAGATTATCAAGACGTAAGATATTGTTTGCTCAATGTTGTGATTCCGTGTTTTCCCTTTTACTAAAACCGTGATATCATAAATTGCCATTGTCATTAACATTGCATGTGTTTTTTTTTCTTTTTAGACTAGGCGGCATCTGTTTTGGTTTAGGTGAATCGTATATCCACGGAGATTTTTGGCTTTTTGGCTTTCAAATATCACTAGAACTGAAATTTTTTCTAATTCAAATATTATTTGTTGTTTAAAATATAAGCAAATGAGAAATTAACTCATTATACTACTAATTTTCGACATATTTTAAAAATAATTGTTTTTAGACAATTTTAGAATATTTAAATAAATTTGTTTTTGATCTTTGATAAACAGTATATAAGTTTATGCACTTACCTCTGATACAATAAAAATATAAAGTTGATAATTAAAGGAAGTTTAAAGATAGATAATTATCGTACTGTTGAAAGACCAATATTTATTAACGATAGGCATTTGAAAATACGCTAATTGTTTTTTTTTAAATCGCGAGACATCAATTTAAAAAAGATCAAAATCGGACCTCTAGAAGCTGATTGTGAGATATTAATTTTTAAGCGCGTCACGGTTTTGAACTCGCCGATTCAATTTCGAGCGGGCCGAAGCGGCCGCGCTCCCTGCTTCCCCCACCACCACCACCTGTACGATTTTCTTGAATTTCTCAATTGCATAAATAACTTTAAACACGTTTTAAAGAAGGTTGCCAATGAAGAAAAGTATTGCAAACTTAGACCTGGTAAGTACTCGGAATACCAAAGGTACCTAGTTTTCGAAAAATTTTCCCGGATGTCCCAGTACGTTTAGGTAAATGACGGTTAACTTTGATCGGCTATAACTACGTAACTAATTGACCAATCGATCTGTTTTTTTTTTAAAGAAGCGTGTTCCCAAGAACATTTAAAACCATTCTTAAAAAATTTGATTTGATTGAATATTCACAAAGTTATTCTAATTGTTTATAAGTACAAAAATTCGACCAATGTTTAAACAAGCGCCAGAGCTCTCCTAATTGACGGATTCGAATTTTCAAAAAGCGTTTGAAAGCTTGAGACCCATTCTATATCTGATTAAATTTTCAAGTATCTAAGGGCCTTGGTTTTTGCTGTGCAAAATTTTGAAATTTTGCAAATTTTTTCTCAAAATTTGGATTGCAAAATTATTATGCAAAATCTATCAAACTTATTTTGATGAAATTTGGTGTGATGATTCTACATAACATGAAGTTTTCTTGAGCCAGGTATGAAGGTGCTATACCCAATTTAAAGGCCCCAAAAAAATTCTCCAAAGAGTAATGCTTTTTAACCCCATTTTTGGCGATTTCTTCGATTTTTACAATAATAATCATGATTCGTTCGATTTGTAACTAGTCATATTTTGTACAAAATTTAATTACAAACATTTTTTTCCTCTTCCATTTTCGCCTAAAATCAACTCTTGAAAAGATACATAAATAAATATGACATTTTTCGAATTTTTTGAACATATTGTGCCGTCAAAAGTTAAGCCCGTTTTTTTTATGCGTATAGAAAAATTTTCATTTCTAGTGATATTTGAAAGCCAAAAAGCCAAAAATCTCCGTGGATATACGATTCACCCAAATATGATGGACTTTTTGAAACAGATACTGTCTGGACTATTTGCAAATTGCAAAAATAGTAATGAAAAGTTAAAGTTAAACTGTAATTTAATTAGAATCTCACTTTTTTTTTTCATTATTAATGAGTGAATGATATACAGGGTGTTTCATAATGATGTACAAATATTTTTAGGAGGTGTTTAGAAAGTAATCTTAGGGGAGGTACTTCAAATATATTTTTTTCATTTGAGCCTCCCCTTAGAAAATATTCAAATCTAAAAATGGCCAAAAAAATTGTCATACTATTTTTTTTCAAGAAAACGGTTAAACTTAGAAATTTGAATTTTGGCACGTTAACAACTAGTTGAATGGTAAATGTATTGGAAGTACCCCCACTAAAATTATTTTTTAAGCCCCTGCTTAAAATATTTGCACATCATTATGAAACACCCTGTATAACAAAATATATACCATTTTTTAAGCAAAATTGTTAAAAAAGTATCCACTTTAGTTTCAATAGGCAAAAATCCTGAAGAATAAAAAAAGCTACTTAAATCTAAGAAATTGAATTATAATTAATTTTAATTTATTCAGCTCAAAATGTAAATTTCTTCAAATTACTAAGAATTTTTGCATGCAACGTGAAATTCTTGTTCAAAAGGTACGTATAATGCTGTTCTTTTATTTTTTTCTTTGCTATAATCTTAACGCAAGTTTTTATTTCAACGTTTTACATACTTAACAGGTTTTGTAACTAACAAAAATGATGTGATTAGATAATAAATGAACATAAAAAACAATGTTATCAGTAAAAGTATTATCATATATTCAACAATTTGGTATTTAGAAAGTCTTAATCGAGGGTTAAGTGATGGGTAGGACCATTATTCAGCGGATTTGCATCGAAATAAAAGAGTATCAAAATAGATACAATTACTTATTTGTAAATTACGAATGCAAAATAGTTATGTGTAGTGAAAATGAATATATAAAAAAAGAATATACAAATGCAGCGTTAATAGCTGTGCAAATAAAGTGGCAACGATGACAGCACATTTCACAGATTGCCAGTTGTTGAACAGAAATTGTCACTTTTACTTTGTGAGGAAAACCATAAATGTCAGTAGATTTTATACACAAATGAGGAGTTGCACTTCATTTGTTTTCTCCGAAGATGTTCCGTAAAACATCAAATAATTTACATTCATCACCCGTACTCCTTCCTCGTACTGTCAATGTTCTTCGCCTGCATACTTAATTAAATTGTTCACATTAATTAAAAAACTCATACTGCCTAACACTATAGACATCAGTTCGAAGTACTTTGAATGTATTGTTTTGATACTCATTTTATTTCGACGCAAATCCGATGAGTACCGCTACCCTCGCTTATATGTTCATATTTCTTTGAGTATTTCAAAAATGAATCGCCTTGTAACAAAACTGAGAAAAATTGGTGTAATTTACAATTTAGTCATATTCCAAAACATAATATATAGGGTCTTCAGAAGCATCTTTAAGCAAAAATAAAGCAAGTCCAGTTACCTCGGCACATTCCATCTTTAAATGGTGAGCCTCCACATTTACTGAGTACTTGGAGTCTTCCAGAGACTAAATTCCAGAGTTAAATCTTACCTTTTTGCTAAATCAGGATTTATTAAATATTTTTTATGATTTACAGATAAACTGGTATTTACTTGAAAATTATCGTCTACGAGATGCAGATCTCTGAATTATGTTATAAATCCACATTAACAGGACAATGACTTGTTATAAAAAAAAATAAAAAATCTTTGAAGGCGCTTAACTTTTTAAGAAAGCAAAATATTAACTTAAATCGATTTATTTTCGCCTAAGGAATCACCCTTATATGCTTATAAGTATGGAACATTCGTTTCTGAATACCTTGTATATACCAAAGCAATAGTCAACGGTATATCCATAGCTCTTGAAATAATTTTTCTCATCTGGTTCAAGCTACTTTATATTCAAGTTGTTCAGTCGTAAAACATTAGCATACTGACTTTTGTTCAGATTAGTATGACTGCATTTGCATTTAGAAACTAATCCCAAAACTAGTTTCTATATCTGCAAGTCATGAGTTGGTCAAGTCCACTGGTAATAGTTTAAAATAATTATGTAGCAAACATTCAAAAGTGGAAATATGTGATAAATTTCTTATACGAGGTGTATCACAACTGATCTCAAAAATTTTAACCATGTAAAAAAAATTATAATAAAAGTCCAACACAAAACAAGGCAAAAATAATTAAAGATTACAATAATTGAAGACTAGAAAAATTAGTACTCTTCTATATCTATCAGAATTACCATATTATTACTTTCTACAGGAGCTATTCAATTTTGTATATTGACTTGCAAGCATGTCAAGTCCAATTTCGTTACACCAGCTCTCCATTTATGCCACTTTCCTATTGTTTCAAGAGACGGACATATCAACAACTGTTGTGATGCATTCTCGTAATTCGTCAATATTTTGTACTTTAGTATGATATACTTCATTTTTGAAATATTTTTACAAAAAATCTGGAGGATTTAGACCTGTGGTGGCCAATCCAGTTCAATCCAACATATCTCTTTGTATCTGATTTAAAAATTAACAAACATGAAAATGTGGGGGTGAACTATTGTGTAAAAGCCACATTCATAATCACACCGATAATGACACACCTTCCAGAAGAATAGGCAAATGGTGATGAAGAAATATTGGTGATCATCCATTCTATTTGACATGATGAACGGCATTTATTAACAAGAGAAACGATGCTGGAAGTGGTCCCCAACTGTAGCGTGAGAATTCTCAAAGGCCCAAACGTGCATATTATGAAGATTAGTTATTCAATTATATAATAATATAAAAATCGCTTCATCCTTAACCGCAAGTCATCTGTTGTAAATTGGGCAGTTTGATCATCATTTTGCAAGAACCATTTGTCTTAAGAGACAGTCTGTATGCAGTAGTGCTTAATGGTACTTTCAGGTCATTACAGACAGAAATAAAACTTATACTGGCAGTCTTATGACAGCGCCTGCTATTTTTTCCATTTTTTCACGTATTTTAAGCAGTTTTTATCTTACATACCAGGTTATTCTACCTTATAATTTTGAATTATTGTAACTAATAATTTTTTTCTCGTTTTCTGTTGTATTTTTAAGAAGTCAACTTCTTAGTTAAATTTGTACAGCAGGTTAAAATTTTCCGAATAAGTTGTGTAAGCACCTATATTCTAGAATTTAATATTTTACTGAATTGATATTATTTAATATACTTTTTTTGTTTTTCAGGAATAACACACTCTTGGGTATTATAAGTAGAAGGAATATAAACTGATAGAAAATTCTTGAACTGCTGAATTTTATATTTTATTTATAAATTTGTTAAGTCATTATAATTGCTCACACTACTGTGTACAGGCCAAACTTTTATTCTTAAGAAATTGATTGTAAATATATTTTCTTTAATTTATAATAAAAGAGAAAAGTGCTTATTTTGATAGAAAATTAGTATTTTATACATATGAAGAAAAATCCTACGTTTGTAGGGAGATCGTTATATTTTTTATTAGGTGTTAATTTAGAAAAATTGTTGACAGGTTGATTAGAGAAATTTAATATTAAAACACATATTCCAATTGGCTGATTAAAACATTGCATTAACTGTTTTAAAATATATTTTTTAAATAAAAGTTATAAAATAAAATATTCCTCCTTAAGGTTGCTGTACCGTTATGCATTATTCAAGAAAATGTACACAAATAAACCTTGAGTGCTTCTTTAAGGACCTTGTTGCTTTATTTATTACACAATTTCCTTTTACAACCCAAACGATGGAATTGTACATCACTAGAAGTTATTTTCGATTACAGAGGGTTTGATTTTTCTGGTGCTTTTTTAAACATTCATTTAAGCATAAAAAACATCTCCATTATCCATTTAATTCATTTCAAATAGAAAAATAGTAATTACAGACCTCAGAAGTTTAAAATTTTCAATCACAGATATCTAGATTTATTAAAAAAAAAGATCATTTAACCTGGTTGATACCTACATCGGGTGTCCGTTAAATAATGGATAACCTTTTAACCATGGATGGGTGATCCTAAGGTCGTTCAGAGAATCGACTTTTGTCTTAGTACAAAGTCCCTTCGTTTTTCAGTTATTTAGTTTTTTTTTTTTTCAAAATTTCCGCCATAGGTTACTTTATTGGTCACTATTCGGCCACAAGAGAACATATTATCTTTCAATTATTTAATTTATTTAAAAATTACAGTAAATGTTCAAATTGTCTGCTGCCTTCCCTGATGCAGGCTCTGCACCTTCTTATATGAATGCCCTTCGGAGCTTTCGTTTGTATCTTCGCTGACTAACGTAAAATTTAAGTTGAAGATTTTTTTAAACAGGAACTACTATTGCTAGTTAAAAATTCTGATAAGCATCTGATAATGACACAATTCAAGAATATTACGCAAAATAACTGAAAGATAATACATTCTCTTGTGGCCGTAGTGACCAATAAAATACCTATGGCGGAAATTTTGAAAAAAAAAATGAAAAAACTGAAAAACTAAGGGACTTTGTAATAAAACAAAAGTCAATTTACCTTAGGGTCCCCCATCCACGGTTAAAAGGTTATCCATTACTTACTGGACACTCTGTATATTATATTAATAATTTATAAGAATGTGTAGATAAATTTCTTGTTTCGTATTTTTTTCAATGTTGAGCATGAAAAAACTACTTTTCATAAATACCTATAAGAAAAGATTTTGTTCGATTGGAGGAAAATCTAACTAATTAATTATGGGGCTTTTTTGAATTTGAAATACTGTTTCTATATGGCACCCATTTTTTAATACTGAAATAGTAACAAAATAAAAAACTTCAACTTTATTTTTTATTTTAGAAATGTAGGTACCAAACAACATAGTTACAATACATTACACAATGCTAAATACAAAAAAAAAAATAGTTTGAACAACTTTAAATACAATTAATACATCGACATTAAAATATAAAATCTATAAACATATATTAAAGACAATTATAAATTATACAATATACAATTGTTAGGTATTATTTATAGCCGATGAGAAAATATCTGTCGATTCAATGAGAAATATGTTTTAAAAAACACCTATGAAAATTTTCTGGGTATAGACAGGATTCCATATCAATATTCAGGTTTGGATTGTACGAAGGCATAAAAAAGTAGGAACAATATACTAGTATGTGCATGTAAAACCCCTGGAGTTCCTAAGAATGAACCCAAGTTTGCTGCTTGCACAATTCATTTCAGATGTTTATTAAACGTAAGTTTTTTAATTAAATGTAACTCCAAGGTTTTTAATATATTCAGGATATTAAAGTACAAACTAAGAGTACAATATTATCTAATTTATATTTGTCACATTTTCGAAAAATATTTCACAAACCAAGACTTTGACTTACCATGATGGAAATGCAATAAAAAAAATTAAATTTTGCGAATTTCAAAAAGAGGGTTCTGATTAATAAAATTAACTATGATTCAAAATTGAATCATTCTGTTTGAAATGTATTGAGTAAGTAATGGAGTAAACATTTTTTCATGTTCGAATAAGTTAATGATGAGAAATGCATCTTGTTATCATGTTTTATTTTAGAAAAACATATTTGATATATTCCAGGATGCTGAAAATTTGCTTTTCTTTAAAATTTTGAATAATAGTAAAATAGTACGATGTAGACCTAATATTTGTACACTAACAGCCGGATTCATGAAAGGGGCGTAAGGCGTTAGTCGGACTAAGGAGTTTTGAGCCCGTGTAAACGTATTCACAAAAAATGCGATTCCCTTGCACCTTTTACTTGCGCTAATAGTTATGTCAAAATTTAGACCTGCCACATGACATGCATAAAAATCGTGCAACTTAAGGTGTAGTTTATTAAGTTCATTGCATTTTATTTTTTTAATTGCAATATATTATTATAAGTATTTCCAGTGCTTCATAATAGTTTAACCACAAGACAATAGACGTGGCATTATAATTAATAGTTGCGCCTTCTTCACACACTTTTTGTGAATGGGACTACGCTTTTTATTTAAATTCACGCAACACAGGAGCAAAATTTTTGCACAACTTCCACTAGTCAGACTAACATTATGCCTCGTTGATGAATCCGTGTGTGAAAGTCCTTACATTCAACAAAAAATAACATCGGATGTTCCATTTTAGATAACACCCAGAAGAAATGGGACACCGAAAACAATTTGGAAATATGGACAAACTGATTTGATGCGACTTTTGTCTGGAACACTTTTTTTACTAGCTTGGTTTACAAGCTTCCGCGTTAAAGGCTGAACAATTTCCGAGCTGGTTGCCAAGTCATCAGTTTAGGTTACTTGATGTTTTGAGAGACATATCGTACTTTTTCTAGGTAGAAAAAAATCTTGGGTGTGTATTTATATCTGCTGTATGCACTAGTCCATGGTCTCTTGGTGCATGGCTTGTTGTAGTCAATGACCCTTCGTCTCAATTGGAATTATTTTGATTCTTCTGGATTTCTATCGCCTCCTTGTAGTCCTGGTCAAAATCTTCTCCACATAACTAAAATTCTGGTATTAGATAGGTCTATTTCATGTCCTGTATCTGACCTTTGTTATTCTTCAAGTGACTCTTGTGCTCCTTTACTATCCAATGTTTATTTTTCCGAAGTAATTTCCTCACAATCCCTTGCGATATCTATGCAAAGCTTAAGTTATCTTAAGCATTTATATGCCTAATAACTTGCAATTCTCACCAATAGACGCGGCCTTAGGGGGCAACGAGCAGGATAATCGCCCGGGGCCTCGCTCTTGGAGGGGCATCACACAACAACCCAAGTAAAAAAAGTTTATTTTTGAAACTTTATTTTATCCTTAGCTATTAGTTATAAATATATGACAATAAAATAAAGTTGGTTAATTCATAGTAAATATATTAATACTTAAAAGTAGGTAGTACATAGGTGTCTAAATAAAATTTCTCATTTAGATTTATTTAATGACTGATATCAAAATTGATTAATTTATCAGTGGATAATATTTTTTGTAATTTGACTGTAAAACGTAATTGAAAAATATCTTTGAATCTCGCACCTCTTTTTTATCATTATTAAAAATTTGTCGTCTTTGTATGTGTTAAATTTTAAAAACCCCTTAATATTTTAAAACTCAAAAATTACTTTTGCATTTCTCTTAAATCGTCCGAAATTCGATTTATGTACATTTCACAAAGAACAAGGGCCTCACAAAGGTCTGCCGCCCGGGGCCTCGCAATGGTTAAAGCTGCCTCTGCTCACCAATGCTTGGATCTTCTACATCACAATGCCCCAATGATTTCTCGATGAAAACTTCAAAGTTAATTGTTTATAATGCACACAAGTACAATTTGAATTTTTAATTTCAAAAAGTTTGGAAAATACTGCTTTAGAAGAAAAAAATAAAAAAATATTTACTGTCAATTCATTATCATTTATATTTACAACTAAATTTAAATCCAAGTAACAAACTAATATAGTAATCTTTTTCACACATTACTATTATGGTAGATTCAATTGGTTGCTTTACTATTACAACAGAGCACAATATATGTTTTTTTTCTTATAAATCTTCCTAATCCGACCTAGAATATTATTAAATAAAGTACAAAGTATATTATATATTTTGATAATCATATAACATAAGAATCATATTTATAAATACCTTAATAGGTAATTCTAATATAAATATTTTACACTGCAGTCCCTCTCTCAAGATTCTGCTTAATCTCCGCGGTATGTTCACCATAAAATCTGTCCATTTTCTTATTAAATTTGGCATTCCTTTCATTGATATAGTCAATATCAGCATCGTCATTATGTATACGTCTCCTGGAATATTTACTTCGTTTCGCGATCTGTTCTTCTACGCTCTTTACAAGATTGTCAACTGCTGCGGGTCTATCCTTATGCAGGCCATGCACAATTGTATTCAGACCAGCATAAAATGCATCTCCATATTTAGCCTTTTGTTCTTCATAAACCTCCATATCTTTGGGAGCCAATCCCTTAATTAATCTGTAAACAACTAACGTTAGTTCTTGTGCACATTTTTGTTATAAATATAAACTTCAGAGAGCAAAAAAATCTACCTGTTATATTGCCGAACAGCTGCTGCTTCAAAATCTGAGAAACCTTGGTCGGGGTTCTTCTTCTTTTTCAACTTCTCCAACCTTTCAGCTTCCACAGCAGAAACATTTAATAGTTTTACTCTATCATAATCTTCGCCCTTTTTAGCGGCCTCTTCTCTTTCTTTCTGGTCATTTAATATCCACTCTGCTTTACGTTTTCGGTTCTCCCAATTCGATGGTAATTTATTCCTTGCATCTTCTGCTATAACTTCCTGGTGGTTATGACTACGTGCCTCGTTCCTTAATCTGTGAAGATCTCTTAGTTTCTTCAAACGTTCTGCCTGTTTCTGAGCAAACGTTTTACCTTCACCAGTATTCTCTTCGTTTATTATACTTGTATCCATTTTATTGGGTTGCTGTATTCTGGACTTGTTTACTGAGATATATTTCAATCGATACAAAAAATAACAGAAGACGCTTAACTTCACGAATATTATTAAATAAAAGATTTTGGGCAAAATTTGGATGAAACAAATGAACTGTGTAGGTTAAGATACAAACGTCAAACCTATGTCATCAAACAAAAAGAGAGAAGTTAGCTCTAGAATCTAAAAAAAAAAACAGAGTATGCATAGATGCATAGTTTTGAAAAATTTAGAATGGCTTAGATTGGAGAAGTTTAGGAGCATTCAGCATTAATAGATTAGATAAGTATAGGATCACGCGTCTCACGATCATGTACCAAAGATTACTTTAATTGAACTATTTTTACAATTTAGGTCGTTTTAGTACGTTTTATATACAGAAAAACTTAAGCTAATCTATTAACCAAATTAACCTAATCTACTATGATTTAATGAAAATTTGAGCATCTATTTATTGACTATTCACAAAACTAACAACGCAAATTGACGGATGCAGCCAATAGCCGCTGATGAAGGGAACGCGGAAATATTAATACCATGAATTGAATAATCACTTTCTTTCCAACTTTCAATAAACATAAAAAAATTAAAAATTAAATGATCACTAATATTTATCACCAACAGTGATTGTACTAAATATGTTGTGTAGCTCAAATGTTTATGAAATACGTGAATGTAATAAAACATAAACCTGGACTTCATTATTATTGTTACCTTTAAGCTGTTACATTCTTAGAGCATATACTACTGGAGGCTGGAGGCCGCGTCCCAGTGCCCGAGAATGTAGGGAGGTTTAGAGACAGAGGGGTATAGGAGTGTATTTGCTATCTCTCTCTGCAACATGCAATCGCGTGCTGCTAGAGAGAGATAACATTGCACTCTCGGCTACTCAGACGCTACCTCCAGTAATTATGCTCTAAGGCTACATTAAACTTGATTTAGATGTGTGAATCGAATGAACCTAAAATAAATGACATATTTTTGCTGTATACTTCACTTCTGTTATCTTCAAAACTAGTGATGGGAATAATCAAATGAATTAAATAATCGAGAGGTTACCATTCGAATTAATTTTATAATCGAATGATCATTCGAATGAATAATCGAAAGTTCACTTTGAAAATTTCCGGTCTATCCCAAATCATATGCGAAACATGTTGACGTTAGGTAAATGAATGACTGTCGCGGATTGGGGCATTTCTTCCATATTTCTTCGTTGCCAGTTGAGTGATTCAGCAGCATGTGTTTAAAATGAGTAGTCGCCGCCTAAAGAGGTCCATTGTTTGGGATTTTTTTGAAAAAAAAAATTATATAGAAAACATAATTTGGTATTATTTTCATTCATATGAATTTTTATCCCCGCTAAATAAAGCTCCCATCTAACCCCCCGCGATGCCACTCATAAAATTCCTGCATACCTGTTTTCTTGTATGTCGGTGCGGTGATATTCGATTGTCTCATCTATCCTCTCGGCCGTCTTATCTCGAGATGTTGTAGCTCGTTAGAGCGTTGGAACAATCGAAACATCTGCGCACTCGCTCGAGTAGTGCACGTATTAGTAACGCTGTGGCCACTGTCATTCGTATCCGAATAATCGAATGATTCTATATGACCACTCGAGATATCTCGAGAGATTTTCATAATCGATATAATCGATAATTTTCATTCGAGTAGTCCCATCACTATTCAAAACCTATTGAGGTTATATACGTTTTAAATGCTTCCTGTTAATTTAAATCAAAGTTATGACTAAAGGAAATATAGAAATTATAGTTAAAGACTTAAAAGATCATCCTCAGTGCATACATGGGCCAACAATTTTATTTTCCAGAGAAGTGAAAGGAGTAAGGAGAAATTTTTTCGCTTGTTCGGCATGCAGAGAACGAAAGCATTGCAATTTCTTCCTGTGGGAAGATGAAAGAAATAAGTTAACTCTATCCAAAAAGCAAATTTGGGAGCAGGAAACGATGAAATATTTAAAGAATATTAACCACAGAAAAATTTTTGTTACTTTGAACAAAGTGATTGGTTTACCTCCGACTAAGAGATTATACTGCCACAATTGTTCAGAGTTTGTGTTGGAGATGAGTGAATCTAAACACAGTGATCATAATTTGTTACGAGGACTGACTGATTATCAGTTAAACCATCCTTCTGAAATTCTACTGCCTGCGGAAAACACTAAGAAAGAAGCTCAATATTTATTTTCAAAATTGTCAGTAAAAACTATTGTAGATATCTTTACTCAACTCGGTTACAAGTAAAGTAAACCAAACATTAAAATTCCTTGCATTACTTATACTAACAAATTTTTTTAGAGACGTTATTTGTATAGGAACGCCAAGAATTCATGAACATATAAGGAGTAGTTGTGATGACATGAACAGCATATTATTAGACATTGACAGTAGATTCCACAGCTTTTTTGGACCTCTAGAATATGTCTGGTACAATTCTTTCAATCATCATTTTTTCTTTACAGAAGCCGGAAATGTTTTTAAGGACTTTCTAAAATCTAGTAAGTAGGTGTCTTATCATTTAGTGCCTGAAGGATATTTATAATATACGAATAATTTAATTTTAGAGGGAAAAATACGGTCTTAATTACAGACCCACCCTTTGGAGGCAGAGTGGAACCACTTGCATTTACTTTTACGACAATAAACAATGAATATAAGAGTATTCATAAAACAAAGAGTGATCTTCCGATGTTCTGGGTTTTTCCATATTTTATGGAACCTCAAATTTTAAACAGTTTACCGAATTTTAAAATGTTGGACTATAAAGTCCTTTATGACAATCATTCCTCATTTCAAAATGGTCCAAAAGGAAGGAAACAAGGTTCACCTGTACGAATTTTTACTAATGTTAATCCAAGGCAAGTAAATGTTTCATTGTATTATTTTTATTTCCAAAACATTGACCTTTGTGCATTTTAAAATTGACTAATTGGTTTCAGATTGATAAAATTACCTGAAGATGAATATAAATTTTGCCCGCTGTGTAACAGATGGGTTTCCCTTGAAAATAAACATTGCAGTTTGTGCAACAATTGTACGTCGAAAGATGGAAGGTCGTACGTACACTGCGAAATTTGTAAAAGGTGTGTTAAACCTACTTGGAAGCATTGCAGAAAATGTGAAAGATGTACACAAGTTGAGCATAAATGTCTTATTTTAAAATTTTCCAAGGTAAATAATAAAATAAATTAATGATAATTGAGCACAGAATCTCTACAAATTTGCCATATTTTTATTTTAGAGATGCTTTCACTGTAAAGAAGAGGGACATAAGAAAAGCGAATGTCCACTTATGAATATTGCATTAAACAATAGAAGGAAAAAGAAAATCGATAAACGAATGAAGAAAAAGAAAATTCATGTAGAGTAATTTATAATTTTAATATATTTTGTTGTTTTCTATAAAAAAAAAATAAAAGGAAAGTAACTAAATCAATGTAATTTTGAAAAAAGGCTACTACACCTTTAAATATCATATCTACCTTTTAATAACATTACTGTTTTTAATATAATATGAAGTCCCCACCCCGCTCACTCTATCCAATGGCGTCAATATTTTTACAATCCGACGTTTTGTCTTCGAGGGACCATCATCAGGTTAATTTTTTTAAATATTTCGCTGCTATTTTTATGACCAAATCTAGTAATTTTTAATTCTGAATTAGATATTACTATTGTAATCGTAAAAAGGTTTTTAGCTATCATTTAAAATTTTTTCTGAGTATGGCTCTGAACGCTTTAATGCAATAATTTAAAAAGTTGTACCTAATAAAAAAAATAAGACGAATTTATGAAATGTTTTATTATGTATTTCTAATTAGTATTGCTAATAGTAGTAAAAAAATTGTTGGATATTTTGTGCTGTATTCACTTTTATACTGTTATGACTTCATCCAACAGATATTTTGAATGCGTTCAGAGCCGTACTCAGGAAAAATTTAAAATGATAGCTAAACTAACATTGATTAAACATTGACTAACATTGACTAAACATTGATAGCTAAAACAATCTAAAAACTTTTTAAGCGATTACAATAGTAATATCACTTTTATCGTATTAACCGTAACCAATGTTTATCGTACAATAGCACACACAATTCTCATATTATAAATGATACAGTTTATTTCTCAAGATACATTAGTAATTAATCAATGGAGGTATAGCATACAAGTCTATAATTCTTTCCCATTTGAGGTATTCTTTTGGATTTGTCTGCATTTCAAGTGTACTGTTGATGTTCAAATACACCAAATTATTTGGACTAACTTTCTCCCACGTCACATTACCTAGGAAACTGTCCACTTCTGGAGTTGGATCTCTAAAGTAAATGATTCGTAAATATTATTTCACGCGATTCTGAATATAAATACTCACAAGTATTTGACAAAGTTTGACCACAGGGTTAATAAACGGTGACGCGTCGTAACATCTTCTGGATCATCAGGAGATTCAGGAGGCAAGCGCGTGTCCCATAAGTAACCCAACTCTTCACCGTGACTAACACCTCGAACACCTAAAATCAAATTATGTAGGTAGGTAGTACAATCTTTGTTGACATATAATTCTAAGGAAAGAATAAGTCAATTTGTTATCGAAACTACTGTAACGATTTATCGCAGTAGAGATAGATTTTTTGGATTAAAATGTGTTTTTATCTCTTCTCCAGTACAGTAGAGTACAAATCATAAATAAACTAGAAGATAATACAATAATTATAAACCCCTTGGTACCAAAAAAATTATAAAAAAGAAAAATGTATTTAAGTAACCTACTAGAGTTCCTAATGAATACTATCGATTGAATGGACTGTATTTTCAATTTATATTAAAGGCTGATTCTGAAGCAAATTAATTTTACTCAAAAACTTGACATATTTTTTTTTATACAGTTACTTCGTTCTAACTTAAATAATAAACTATTGATGCATATAATTTATTAACATATTCATCACCTGGAACTTAATAGTAGTTCAACATAACAGCGGAGTAGTAGGCAGAGCTGGGAGAGATCCTTTTAAAAAGGATCTAGATCAAAGGTATTAGATCGTTTTTGAAAAGTATCTATAGATAATTTTAAAAAAGATCATTTGACATTAGAAAGATCTCAGATACAAGATACTTTTATAAAATATCTTTTTACAAAGATCAGTATCTTAGATCATTAAATATGATCTAAGATCAAAAAAATATCTTANAATTTATAATTATAATATATTTTGTTGTTTTCTATAAAAAAAATAAAAGGAAAGTAACTAAATCAATGTAATTTTGAAAAAAGGCTACTACACCTTTAAATATCATATCTACCTTTTAATAACATTACTGTTTTTAATATAATATGAAGTCCCCCCCCCCACCTATTTAACTTTTGAGGACACTACTTTACAATATTTTAATTTCATATTGCCCTTGCATTCAGGAATTTACCAATTTGTGGAAGAACTTAGATTTTTACCAAAAAAGCTTTTATTATAGGTTAAGGCCCCTATAACGGAAACCCACATTTAAATTCATTAAACGAACACAAATTTAAACATTTTTAAACATAATATTTGATAGTAGTCCAATCAACTTACACTTGAAGAAAAAAAATTGTTACCTGTACTTTTATAAGTGAAATGGTAAAAGGGCTTATAATGAACCTAAAAAAAATAAATGCGTGAGCAGGGGAGGCGGATGGTTAATTTGGGGGTTGAAAAGTTGTGAAAAATTGTATCACTGGGATTTCTGGCGAAAGTTGACGTCAAACAAAAAAGTAGTAAGTTGTAGATAATGCAAAAATATACAACTTTTGTAGTAGTTGTAGTATGTTTTTACGATAACCTCAAAATTTCCGAGAAAAATGCGAAAAACAGTTTTTTTCTGATTTTTCGTTTTTTATTTCTCATTTCCGCAAAAATAACTTAGTTTTGACGAAACTTGGTGAAGCTATACTTTTCTGCGTCTTAAATAACCACATTTTTTTTTAGATAAAACATTTGAGAAGTTTCCGAGATATTAATTTTTTCCGGTCTGAAACACTATTTCAAAAACAAATCTACTTAGGAAAATCATCGTAGAGTTCTGCCGGTTATAATTTTTTTCGTTTCGACATAATATACTTTTTGGTGAAATAAAGAAATCTGTAATCAAGTTCAAAAACATATTCAAAAATGCAAAAAAAATTACTTGCAACAATGAATTTTTCAGTAATTGTCGATAATTTGTTTAAAATACAAAAAATTCAAAAACTGATTACACCATTCAATTCTACGGAAAAATATACAAAAAAAAAACTTTGTCTCATTGTTTGACCCAAAACTTTATTTTTGTACTAAACATAACATCTAAGTCGAATTACAAATGCACAAATTATAAATTATCTCTGGATGATTTGAGATTTCAGCAATACAAAGTATTAACTGCAAAGTCGATCTACTGTTGACATGAAACCCGAAAACCTGAAATTTTGCAAAATCGTTTCATTTTTTTCGGGCTTTATTTGAAAACGAATTTTAAAATAAATTGCATGTTTGCATGGCCATTCTTTTCGCTCTATCCAATGGCGTCAATATTTTTACAATCTGACGTTTCGTCTTCGAGGGGCCATCATCAGGTTAATTTTTTTAAATATGTCGCTGCTATTTTTATGACCAAATCTAGTCATTTTTAATTCTGAATTAGATGATATTACTATTGTAATCGCTTAAAAAGGTTTTTAGCTATCATTTAAAATTTTTCCTGAGTACGGTTCTGAACGCTTTCAAAATATCTACTGGAGGAAGTCATAACAGTATAAAAGTCAATTCAGCGCAAAATATCCAACAATTTTTTTTAGTCAATAATTTAAAAAGTTGTACCTAATAAAAAAATAATAATTGTTGGATATTTTGTGCTGTATTTACTTTTATACTGTTATGACTCCATCCAATAGATATTTTGAAAGCGTTCAGAGTCGTACTCAGGAAAAATTTAAAATGATAGCTAAAACAAGCTAAAAACTTTTTAAGCGATTACAATAGTAATATCACTTTTATCGTATTAACCGTAATCAATGTTTATGGTACAATAGCACACACAATTCTCATATTATAAATGATACAGTTTATTTCTCAAGATACATTAGTAATTAATCAATGGAGGTATGGCATACAAGTCTATAATTCTTTCCCATTTGAGGTATTCTTTTGGATTCGTCTGCGTTTCAAGTGTACTGTTGATGTTCAAATACACCAAGTTATTTGGACTAACTTTCTCCCACGTCACGTTACCCAGGGTACTGTCCACTTCTGGAGTTGGATTTCTAAAGTAAATGATTCATAAAATGTTATTTCATAGTCCAATTAACTAAGCCTTTAATTCGAAATTTTGCCAACTTGGCTGAATTTTTGATATGAGTTAGTTTAAGGTATATTATAACAATAAGTGAGAGTAATTTTTTGCTCAACCCCCGGCCAAGGGTGGAAAAAGATAAAACAAAGGGCTTTTTCAAGATAACTCAAANCTTTTTACAAAGATCAGTATCTTAGATCATTAAATATGATCTAAGATCAAAAAAATATTTTAGATCGTTGGAGGAGATCTAAGATTAAATTTCTCAGATCATTTAGAAAACATTACACATTATTCTTATGTACATAATGAATTTGCCTTAAGTAGAACTAAATTTTCAAAATTTTTATCGGAAAGTGTACTGCGCCTGGAGGCATTGATAAAAGTAGCAAACGAGAACATTCTTTCAACTGAGGCTGATGATGCCAATGAGGCATTAAATTTAAAAAAAAAGTTGCTTAATATAGGGATATTTGTCTAGCACTTGAAGAGATCTAAGATATTTTTTGGGATCTTAGATACTTTTCAGGATCTAAGATCCTTCAATTTAGATCATAAGTTCAGATCTTTTTCAAAGGATTTATTTTAAATAGATTAAGATCTAGTCCTTAAAAAAGTATCTAGATACAAATCTAAGATCAGATCTTTGATCTTAGATCATTAAAACGATCTATTTTTAAGATACTCTTAGCTCTGGTAGTAGGTAAATAAAATATTGAGTATATGAATTAATCAATTAATTAAAGCTAATTCACTTCACTCTTCACTTTCAGGCAAAGGAAGAGGACCCAGTCTGGATATTGCTCGCATGAGAATTCCTTTATGAGTTCTAATGGTTACCTACCACTCTAACTATACAGGGTATTAATTAAGTATTTACAATAAATTCAACAGATTTGATTGATTTTAAGACAAAAAGTTCATATAAACATTGGTCCGCAGATGCTTCGTTTTCAAGATACAGGGTGTTAAACTTTTGTAAAAAATTGATATTTCTCGTAAATATCTTAAATACCCTTTACCCAATTTTGTTGTAATTTGGCAGTGTTATTTGTAGTGTTAAGGGGCTAATTTAACCCTAACTTGATTAGATTTGTTAAGTTCAGTGGCGTCCCGAGTGGTATTACGTAATTCGAAATATTAAAAACACCCAATAATACTAATATGTCATCATTTAAAACATGAAAAAGAATAATTCAAAGATATAGATTAGGAGATATTCATACATGTGCTAACATTACATGGTATAGGTATTTGTTAACATTGCTTGAATAGAGAAAACTTACCTGCGACTTCTATATCCTTTCTACCTCCCATATTGCCATTGTATGAAAACTGGTACATATAAACGTCGGTATAGTTGGATTGTAACTTTGCATGCCTAATAGCTGGAGTTGTAAACGAGTCGTCACTGAAAAACTAAACAAAGGTTTTATTATATTATCGATCATTTGGTCCAATTATTTGTATGCTCTTTAAACGTCGGAAAGGTTAATATGCAGCAACACATTGTGAAAGCAAGAAGATCTTTTTTTTTTGGAAGATCCATTCAGATTTTATGAAAGGTTAATAAGCTATTTTTTTCGTCATTGAGAAATTTTTCCTCTTGAACTAGTAATAATTTCAACAAATACACGAAAAGCAGCTTAAAAAATATATGGATGTTACCTTCACTACTTGCCCAGGATCGTCTTCAAATGTTCCGTCGGTGTAAATTTGCCTCAGTCTAGTGCCAGCTGTCAGTTTGTTTCTCTTTGGTCATATTGAACTGGTTTCTAATAAGGTTGGATAAATCACTGTCGAAATATTTCGCACGCGCCTCAACATCTGAAGGATCTTAAAATATCGGTTGACATTTGTGGCAAATAATAAGACGTTTCAATAAGTTTTCGTAATCTTACCAGTATTCAAAAATGATAGTCCTTCCTCAGAGTTAAAGCCAATAATTATGGGAACATGGTTTATGTTTCCCGTTCTAATGTCTTCATGAAATAAACCCGTGAGGAGTGCTCCATCTAGACTAGCATCCTCAATTACAGGCAGCCATATTAAACTTTCCAATAATGAAGACTCTTTTCCAACAGCAGCCTATGCAAATTTTGATTATAGTGTATGATCTATATTTAGTTTTTAACTTCTTACTCATTACCAATCTATAAAAAATAAAAAATGCATTAATTCAACTTACAGTAACTGTGTTGTTGTTTATGTCGGAAGCAGGAAGGCTTTGCAACAGTTCCAGTAATTCGGCTGAATTATCCGAAGTGAAACTTGGATCCAAACTTCGAGCTAATTCGAAAGCGTAGAATCTTGCATAGCTTTGATGTGCCCACTGAGACAATGAGGTACCACTTTGTAAAATGCCACCTCTGAATAAGCCTTTATTCCGTTGACTTAATAAATGTAATCCCACAGATCCCGCTCCGGCACTTTCACCTGATATCGTTATTTTTTCGGGGTCCCCACCAAATAAATGGATATTATTTTTAACCCACTGAAAGGCGAGNAAAAAAATTAATACGGCCCTACTGAAAATAAAAAATGATGCTGTTTTTAGATAGAACAGTTTGTTATTGACAAAAAGTGTACATTCACTTTTTTTCCTAACTCTTATAGTTTCATGGCAAAAATGATTTTTCGGAAAGGTGGTGCTTCTGAATTCTGTAGATAAACTTGAATGAACCTCGACAAAAATTTTCGAGTAGGCTGCTGTCAAGCAATGTTAATTTGACGTTTTAAATGTTATTTTGCGAATTGTTATATAAATTATCCATTAGATAAAGCGTTCAAACTAATAATAAAAATAAGTTTAATAATGTTTTCGAACAATGAATATGCTGATATGAACTTTGTATATGGTTTTTGTGACGGAAATGCCACGGCGGCTCGCCTTGAATATGCAGTAAGATTTCCTTATCGCAGACTACCAGCAAAGGAACAATTTTCAACGACATTCAGTCGTCTCAGACAAACTGGGTCTTTCGGTATTCCAACTTATGCTGATGGACATTTTGCCCCACTTCAGGACGAAGTAAGATCGAATACTATTTTAAACCATTTCGATGAAAATCCATCCACGAGTGTCAGAAGAGATAGCTATGAGCTAGGTATTTCGTCAAGTTCCATTTAGAGAACTCTTCGGGTTGATGGACACCATGCGTACCATATCCAGCGTGTGCAACATTTATTGTCTCAGGACATACGATGCAGGCGCGTGTTTTGTGACTTGATGTTAAACCAAGCAGAGAATGATGATCAGTTTACGCAAAAAGTAATGTGGAAGATGAGTCAACATTTACTCGAAAGGGAATTTTAAACCAAAGGAACAACCATATTTGGTCCGAGAATCCACGGGCAGTAAGGAAACATAGTTTTCAGCATGAATTCCAATGTAGGTAACGTATGGTTGGGTGTGTTGGACAACACTATAGTTGGTCCCTACCTCCTTCCGCATCGGTTAAATGCTGACATGTTTACCGAGTTCCTTGAAAATTGTTTTCAAGATCTGTTAGAAGATGTTCCGCTTAATACTCGAATGAACAGTTGGTTTCAACTAAATGGTTGTCCTGCCCATTTTGGTAGAGGTCCTAGGGAGTAGTTAAACATTAATTATCCCAGAAGATGGATTGGTCGTGGAGGACCTACAGCGTGGCCCGCACGTTCACCGGACTTGACACCGATGGATAATCTCGTTTGGGGTGCTGTTAAACAAAAAGTCTACGAGGTGCCAGTTGGTACCCTAGAAGATCTAAGACAGTAAATAGTCCAAGCGTGTCGAGAATTAACTCCAATTCAGTGTCGATCGGCCACTACCTCCATAAATAGAAGATGTCGTGCTTGTCTACAGTCCGGAGGAGCCCATTTTTAATTGGTAATTTTTTGGTTGTTTCAATTTACAAATAAATTTTCATCTATTGTTTGCCATCTTATTTTATTTAAAAGTACACAACACAAGTAAATGAAGTGACTACAAACCACTTGAAAAAATTTAGGAGTATTGCAAGGGTCGTTACGTTGTCGCATTACGACCCAGCACATTAGATATTAGGTACTTAAATATTTATGTTGTTTTCATCATCGTTTTTTTTTCTAAAAAAAAAACACCCCATATCTCAAAAACGAAGCATCTCCTAAATAATTTTAATACTATTGGTTAAACCCAAGGGAAGGGGAGACAAAATAGCTTATTTGACTCACACATACTCGAGACTAAGACCAATTTTAATAGGTACTATATTTTTTTAGGTTTTTTGAGGAACGTCTTCCTAAAGTTTATCGATATAATCCAAAAGCACCCTTCTGAAAAATCAATTTTGCCATGAAACTATAAGAGTTAGGAAAAAAGTGAATGTACACTTTTTGTCAATAACAAACTGTTCTATCTAAAAACAGCATCATTTTTTATTTTCAGTAGGGCCGTATTAATTTTTTTTATAATTTAATGAGTCTAAGTCCCCATATTTTCGCCACTGGTTGCTTGCGGGACTTCTACTTCTATGGAAAAACGGTATCTTATAAGAAGATGTGTCATGCCAAATTTGGCTTAAATAGCCTTCTTCATTTAGAAGTTATTTAAAAAATTCGAATTCTTTAAAAAATCTTTAACGCCCTATATTTCAAAAATGAAGCGTACCTGGAAAAAAAATTATACTTGATTTTTTTCTTATTTTTTTTTTATGAGGAATATCTCCTTAAAGTTTGTCGTCTTAATCCTGAAACAGCCTGTATATAAAGTAGATTTTTTGGATTAAAATGTGTTTTTATCTCTTCTCCAGTACAGTATAAATAATAAGCTAGAAGATAATACAATTATAAACCCACTGGTACAAAACAAAAGTATAAAAAAGAAACATGTATTTAAGTAACCTACTACAGTCTCTAATGAATACTATCGATTGAATGGACTGTATTTTCAATTTATAATATTAAAGGCTGATTCTGAAGCAATTTTACTCAAAAACTTACATATTTTTTTTTATACACAGTTACTTCGTTCTAACTTAAATAATAAACAATATTGATGCATATAATTTATTAACATATTCATCACCTTGAACTTAATAGTAGTTCAACATAACAGAGGAGTAGTAAGTAAATAAAATATTGAGTATATGAATTAATCAATTAATTAAAGTTAATTCACTTCACTTTCAGACAAAGGAAGAGGACCCAGTCTGGATATTGCTCGCTTGAGAATTCCTTTACGAGTTCTCATGGTTACCTACCACTCTAACTATACAGGGTGTTAATTAAGTATTTACAATAAATTCAACAGATTTGAGTGATTTTAAGACAAAAAGTTCATATAAACATTGGTCCGCAGATGCTTCGTTTTCAAGATACCTACAGGGTGTTAAACTTTTGTAAAAAAATTAATATTTCGTAAATATCTTAAATACCCTTTACCCAATTTTGTTGTAATTTGGCAGTGTTACTTGTAGTGTTAAGGGGCTAATTTAACCCTAACTTGATTAGATTTGTTAAGTTCAGTGACGTCTTGAGCGGTATTACGTAATTGGAAATATTAAAATCACCCAACACCCAATAATACTAATATGTCATCATTTAAAACATGAAAAAGAATAATTGAAAGATATAGATTAGGAGATATTCATACATTAAAACGTACGTGGAAAAATGGTTAAGGTTATTACTTTAATAGAAAATACAATAAAATGAGGAAAAACTGGGATAAATATTTGGTAAGGAATAAAAATGCCTACATTTAAAAAACCCTTCTCGATTACTCTCTATGTGCTAACATTACATGGTATAGGTATTTGTTAACATTGCTTGAATAGAGAAAACTTACCTGCGACTTCTATATCCTTTCTACCTCCCATATTGCCATNTTAGATTTGATAAAATTTCAGCTTTCAGTACTTTCAATTTAATTTTATATAATTCCATAATAAACATTGCACGTATATTTGTAACCTATGTCATTAAGAAAAAAAGGGAATAGCAAGTTTCCTAATATCTCCTAATACAGATCCTTGTGGTATACACGACGTTGCAATGTATTAAAATGATAATTATTTGAGACAAAGTTACCAGAGGGATAGAGAAACCTAAATTTGAGAGTTTATTGAGCAGAAGATCTAAACTATCAAATGGTTTAGTGAAATCAAGATATATTGTATTCGTTGAGCAATTATGTCTCAAATTGAATCTCAAATATAAAATTTGTTTCGGTGTCTTAACCTTTGTAAAAATCGTGCTAAATTGATAATTTAGATTTTTTGATAAAGAAAACATTGAATCATAAATTAAAAATTCGAATATCATATATAGTCCACGGGCCCACGTACAAACAAAAAAAAGGATTACCAGCAAGCTGTAACTTTGCGTGCAGCTTAAGTTTGACAAGTCTCCCAAGATTTGACTACTAGGAAAATTCAACAGTGGTAAGTTTTCCCGTGATTTTCAGGAAAACATGTCAATCTGGCATAGACATGGACTGTTATGACCAGCACTTTTTTTTTAGTTTAAATGAAAGATATATTCTTTTTAAACCCCCCAAAAAATTTGTCCGACAAAAATGTTGGGTATTTTGAGTTTGTCCGCCACTCCAGATATGTCGATTTGGTGACATTATAGTTGGTGACAACCAGAAAGCTGATTTTTCTGAGAGGGTTTGGTAATAAGATTTGAAATGAAAGTATCTTATTGTCCGACAAAATTCTTGAGAAGTTTCTGCAGTCCGACGCCCCGAAGATGTCGATTTAACGACAACATGGTTGGTGATAACCAGCAATCTGGTTTTGATTTTTTTTCCGTAATAATTCAAATGTATAACACAATAATATACTTGTCCGCCAAAAAGATTGGAAAGTTTGCCTTAAAAATGAGAAAAATTACAATTTTTGTGGTATGCAGGGTGTTCCTAAATAAGTGTCGCAACGGAAAACTGGAAATTCCTCTTGAAAAAAGAAACATTATTTTCCTTTTCCATTTTTCTCTCCGGGCTTTCGTTTTCGAGATACACGGTGTCAAAACTTTAATTTTTTTAAATTTTTTTGCCAATATCTTAGGAACCGTTTAAATTACAGGACTGAGTTTTTGTACACGCATTACCACTATTAATAGNTATGAGACGACTTCATTATAGCCATCCTTCTCTATCGCATGGATTTCTATGTCTTACTTTATCGCTCTCACGTAACGGCAGATGGACCATCGGTACTTTCCGAACCTGTATTGTATTCGTTGAGCAATTATGTCTCAAATTGAATCTCAAATATAAAATTTGTTTCGGTGTCTTAACCTTTGTAAAAATCGTGCTAAAAGGATAAATTAGATTTTTTTAAAAGAAAACATTGAATCATAAATTAAAAATTCAAATATCATATAATCATTATATATGATTGACATCGGTCTATACAGGATGGCCAGAAGTACGGAATAAAATTTATATCTTTTGAATGAGTTAATTTTTTTTAAAACGTCGAAACACGTTAACTGATTTTGATTTTTTCCCATCTTTCGGTTATATAATAATTAATTTTTCNATACTAATATGTCATCATTTAAAACATGAAAAAGAATAATTCAAAGATATAGATTAGGAGATATTCATACATGTGCTAACATTACATGGTATAGGTATTTGTTAACATTGCTTGAATAGAGAAAACTTACCTGCGACTTCTATATCCTTTCTACCTCCCATATTGCCATTGTATGAAAACTGGTACATATAAACGTCGGTATAGTTGGATTGTAACTTTGCATGCCTAATAGCTGGAGTTGTAAACGAGTCGTCACTGAAAAACTAAACAAAGGTTTTATTATATTATCGATCATTTGGTTCAATTATTTGTATGTTCTTTAAACATCGGAAAGGTTAATATGCAGCAACACATTGTGAAAGCAAGAAGATCTTTTTTTTTGGAAGATAGTTTCAGAAAATCATTTGAAGTTGTGATTTTTCTGTATTTGTTAGAAGTCACTTTAACGGAACATGGTAAAACAAAATTTGTGTAATTTCTGGCAGGAATTTCATTTTTTTTGGAAGTAAATTTTCTCAAACATGAGAAAATAAGACAGTGCCCCACATAACAAAATTGTGACTTCTTCTTAAGTCCACCAAATTTCCAAGGTCTAGTTACGTGTCAGTTCAGATTTTATGAAAGGTTAATAAGCTATTTTTTTCGTCATTGAGAAATATTTCCTCTTGAACTAGTAACAATTTCAACAAATACACGAAAAGCAGCTTAAAAAATATATGGGTGTTACCTTCACTACTTGCCCAAGATCGTCTTCGAATGTTCCATCGGTGTAAATTTGTCTCAGTCTAGTGCCAGCTGTCAGTTTGTTCTCTTTGGTCATATTGAACTGGTTTCTAATGAGGTTGGATAAATCACTGTCGAAATATTTCGCACGCGTCTCAACATCTGAAGGATCTTAAAATATCGGTTGACATTTGTATCAAATAATAAGACGTTTGAATAAGTTTTCGTAATCTTACCAGTATTCAAAAACGATAGTCCTTCCTCAGAGTTAAAGCCAATAATTATGGGAACTTGGTTTATGTTTCCCGTTCTAATGTCTTCATGAAATAAACCCGTGAGGAGTGCTCCATCTTGACTAGCATCCTCAATTACAGGCAGCCATATTAAACTTTCCAATAATGAAGACTCTTTTCCAACAGCAGCCTATGCAAATTTTGATTATAGTGTATGATCTATATTTAGTTTTTAACTTCTTANCCATCTTGACTAGCATCCTCAATTACAGGCAGCCATATTAAACTTTCCAATAATGAAGACTCTTTTCCAACAGCAGCCTATGCAAATTTTGATTATAGTGTATGATCTATATTTAGTTTTTAACTTCTTACTGGTTACCAATCTATAAAAAATAAAAAAATGCATTCATTCAACTTACAGTAACTGTGTTGTCGTTTATGTCGGAAGCAGGTAGGTTTTGCAACAGTTCCAGTAATTCGGCTGAGTTATCCGAAGTGAAACTTGGATCCAAACTTCGAGCTAATTCGAAGGCGTAGAATCTTGCATAGCTTTGATGTGCCCACTGAGACAATGAGGTACCACTTTGTAAAATGCCACCTCTGAATAAGCCTTTATTNACAAGATTAGGGCGGAGATGCATAATTTACCAGCTGAAGTCATTCAGAATGCTGTGGACAGCTTTTACTATCGTCTTGGAGAATGCCAAATAGTGAATGGAGGACATTTTCAGCATTTGCGACATTGAGTTTATTTTTGTAAATTATCTAGTTGTTTCAATTTCTAAATGAAAAAAAACTTGTTTGGCTTTGGTATGGCTGGATTCAGTTTTCTATAATCAGTTAACGTGTTTCGGCGTTTTAAAAAAAATTAACTCATTCAAAAGATATGAATTTTATTCCGTACTTCTGGCCATCCCTCTATAGTTACTTACATCAAGTTTGTATCTGCTGAATTCGGGTATAAATACATGTACCAGTGGCGGAGATACTAGGGATTACTTACACTAAAAAACTCAGAAATTGGACGCTAAAAAATCCACAGAGTTTATTGTCAGTTGGAAATAACTATTATTATTTTTTCTTCTTGAAATAAACCCAGAATTCTTTTTATTTTTTTTTAATTCCGTTTTTATCCCTCAGTATGAAAAAATTATAAGGTGCTATTACATCCTAAAATTGTCATATCCCCAGTTTTTTATATAATTTTTTGTAAAATGACTAATTGTACTAATAAATATCATAAGTAAATAAAGGGGTAAAATGAAGTTAAGGGCACATGTTATAAGAATGCTTATAGAAACCGTTCGTCTTATTTGTCCTTTTAACGGTCCTAACTAAAGAAATTGTAATGATGCCATTATTGTTATTATTTTTACTAAAAGCGTTTCATATTTATTAGTTACCTAGAGCTCCTAAACGGTAGTTTATCGTGACAACAACAATATTNAAAAGTGCTGGTCATAACAGTCCATGTCTATGCCAGATTGACATGTTTTCCTGAAAATCACGGGAAAACTTACCACTGTTGAATTTTCCTAGTAGTCAAATCTTGGGAGACTTGTCAAACTTAAGCTGCACGCAAAGTTACAGCTTGCTCAAATCTTATTACCAAACCCTCCCAGAAAAATCAGCTTGCTGGTTGTCACCAACCATAATGTCAATGTCAACTTACCACTGTTGAATTTTCCTAGTAGTCAAATCTTGGGAGACTCGTCTAACTTAAGCTGCACGCAAAGTTACAGCTTGCTGGTAATCATTTTTTCTTTGTACGTGGGCCCGTGGACTAATAATCATTATATATGATTGACATCGGTCTATATAGTTACTTACATCAAGTTGGTTCTGCTGAATTTGGGTATAAATACGTGTGCCAGTGGCGGAGATACTAGGGATTACTTACACTAAAAAATTCAGAAATTGGACGCTAAAAAATCCACAGAGTTTATTATGTCAGTTGGAAATAACTGTATTATTATTTTTTCTTCTTGAAATAAACCCTGAATTCTTTTTCATTTTTTTAATTCCGTTTTTATCCCTCTGTATGAAAAAATTATAAGGTGCTATTACATCTTAAAATTGTCATATCCCCAGTTTTTTATATAATTTTTTGTAAAATGACTAATTGTACTAAAAAATATCATAAGTAAATAAAGGGGTAAAATGAAGTTAAGGGCACATGTTATAAGAATGCTTATAGAAACCGCATTTCTTATTTGCTGACATGGTCCTCCTGCTTGGGGGTGTTCTTTACCAAAAACCTACTTGACTAATTTTGCACTATTTTAGTTGTCTCATTATCTCTAAACTTTTAGCTCTCCAAATGTCCTTTTAACGGTCCTAACTAAAGAAATTGTAATGATGCCATTATTGTTATTATTTTTACTAAAAGCGTTTCATATTTATTAGTTACCTAGAGCTCCTAAACGGTAGTTTATCGTGACAACAACAATATTATGGTCAATGAAGAATCCAGGTTTGAATATCATAATAGCTCCAGATCCAGTTTCAAATCCACCTCCATGTATCCATATTAACACCGCTAATGGGGTTTGTGAAGTATTTCCAGATTTCTAAAAGAAAATATGCATCGATAATAACGATATTTGAAAAAAAAACAGTAAAGTAACTACAACTTTAATATTTGGAGGCGTATAATTTTACTGGAGGTACACCTGTATCACTCACATTTTTGCATAACTTTATAATTAAATAAAACATAAATGTTTTTGGCCACGAATGCACCGCTCCTTAAGCTCATAATCATTAATATTTTACTATTTTTCTTTGAATTTAACCAAATAGTAGTAATAGTGATAGACATCGGCTAAAAGAGTGTGATATCAATGTCTAAAATTGTTGATATTAAATTGACTACAGTATCAGCTAATTGTAACTATCTTCCATCTTACCAGAGGAGTGTAAACATTCAAGTATAAACAGTCTTCCGTTTGGATTATTCCGGGAATCGGTATGTAGACGTCTCCACCTTGGTAACAAACTTTTTCATTTTTCGTGGTGTTTAATATTCCTTCCCATTTTGCTGGCGCTACAGGTGCCTAAAAATGAATTGAAATGATAAAAATAAAAAGTAACAAAAATACATACGTTTTCATCCTTACCTGAAATCTTAATTCGCCTATAGGTGGAGCTGCGTACGGTATGTCTTGAAATGCGTAATAAACATTGTCGTTTGGAGACTGCAAGGCTTGACCTCTTATTTGGCCCTCTGGTAAAGTGACAAGTGTCGGGTCATCTACCTATTTATGAAGAAATATGTAATATTTGTGGTACTTCAACTAGATACATAAATATTAATAACTATTTTGTACATAAGGAAGACATTTCAAATTTACAAAACTTCGATATATATAAGTAAGCCAATAATTACTTACATCCGCTGCAGATGACCTTATTGCGCATAAAATCAGTAGCAGCAGCCCGTTGTACTTCATGATTTCGAATTAATAGCGATAACGAACGAGCTTTTCAATTTATAGAATCTGAAATAGGTAATTTTTTATTCGGTTAAAATTCAAGTGTTCGACTTTCGCAGATATTTTTGTGGTACTTGTAGTCTTATCTTTATGATAATTATTTTTTTATAAAGAACATACAAAATAGAAAAATTATTATATCAGCACTTTAAATTAAAGTGGTTTTAACTGGTTTACATTTGCATGGATTACACTAAAACTGGTGAATAGGCAACTTTTGAAACATTTTCTATAAATACCAAAAATTAATTTCCTACAAATCATCAGCAAAATATTGTCAAGGCATATGTAAAGTTTATCTAAATGAAGGTGCTCAAATGGTACCTTCGAAGTTTTATCTAACTAATAATACAAAAAACACAGAACTTATAATTCGAATTTACTAATCTATATAAATAAAAATGAAATAGTGTTCGTTGGTAAGCACGTCACTTGAGATGGCTGGACTGATGTGGTAATTTTTTCTATGTTCGTAATAGTGAGGATAAGGTATTTAGGGAAAGAAAAGTTGGAAAAGTTGTCCGGAAAATTGGAAAATTCGTGTAAAACTGAAAGTGCTGATCACAAACAAATTTGTAGATTCAGGTAGTTGTATATAATTTTTGTATTTAATGTTAAGATTATTGAATAATCGACCTTTTGTATATATATCATAAAATTCTTATAAACAATATAAATGGTACAGTTTATTTATCAAGATACATTAGTAATTAACCAATGGAGGTATAGCATATACGTCGATAATTCTTTCCCACTTGAGGTACTCTCTTGGATTCGACTGCATTTCAAGTGTATCGTTGATGTTCAAATACACCAAATTATTTGGACTAACTTTCTCCCACGTCACGTTACCCAGGGAACTGTCCACTTCTGGGGTTGGATTTCTAAAATAAATCATTCATAAATATTATTTCAAGCGATTCTGAATATAAGTACTCACAAGTATTTGACAAAGTTTGACCACAGGGTTAATAAACGGTGACGCGTCGTAACATCTTCTGGATCATCAGGAGATTCAAGAGGCACGCGCATGTCCCACAAATAACCCAACTCTTCACCGTGACTAACACCTCGAACACCTGAAATCAAATTATGTATAGTCTGTTTAGAAATGAAAGAGAGTAATAAAAGCTTATTATGTATGCAAATCGTAAATAAATGTAGTACTGGTACTTATATTCAATATTTTTATATTATGTATTTTCGGTATAGATGAGGTGTACTTTTAAAAAAACTTTGTGCGATCGGACTGTACTAAATTGTAGCAGGTAGCTAAAATTTAATCCCCGACAATCCGTCTTTGTCTATGCCGCTTCAATTTCTCGGTCCATTTCTCTTATAAGTAAACAATATAAAAACAGCATTTCAAAACATGAGGCTACTTTAAGCATCATAACCGGGTTAAGAGGGTTTTTAGTAATTCAAATAAAATTATTCAATATTATTATCAAAATATTTATTTAAATTTAATGAATAGACTTTTATTCCACACAAAAATATATGTATTTTGAAAATTCAAATTATGGTGAGTAAATGTAGTGTTGTATAAATGTACAATAAAGAAAATAAAAAAGTAGGTATATTAAAATTCATCCTCTGAATATTCTGATGAATTATCTTCGTCTCCTAGATTGATAACGATAGGTTCCACAGTAACGTCAATTAAATTATCGAGTTCCCACATTTTCTCCTCTTCTTTTTGTACATGATGTATACATCTTTGCCAGTTATCTGCAGTTACTCGTTCCAAGGAATTTTTTAACAAAATTTTCACGTCACTTAATTTAAACGTCGTATTATTTCGCGCTACATCTCCTTTTACCTGCGCCCAGACTAATTCGATTGGGTTAAGTTCACAGTGATAAGGTGGTAACCGTAGTACCGTTATTTGGCGATTTGTTGCCATTTCATCGATAACATATTTTTTCTGATCTTTATTAAGATTGACAAGTGTCAAAAGTTCCTTTTTCACCATATTTGTTTCAAAAGAAATGTTTTTTCCGGATAACCATTGAATTATATCGGCTTTCCTCCAAGCAGTCGTAGGCGTCCGCTCGGTCTGCCGTGAATGGTAACTGGCATTATCCATGACAATTACAGACCCCGGAGGAATAAGATCCAACATCTGTGTAAAATACTCTTCGAAAACATCTGCGTTCATGTCTTCGTGATAGTCACCTGTATTTTTAGATTCAAATAAAAGTAAACCGCCATCTACAAAACCACTGGCACTACCTATATGTGTCACTATTAATCTTCGCCCTTTACCTGAAGGTGCCTTGAACCCTGTTGAAAGTCCATCCAAAAATGCTTGTCGAAAACTTTTTACATTTTTATCTTGCCATACTTTTGTTACAGTATATCCCTCGTTGACCCAAGTTTCGTCTAGATAATAAATATTCCTCCCTTCGTCACGGAATTTTCTAATTGATCTTAAGTAGGATCTTCGCCAACAAATAATTTCATCTTTATCGATAAGAACTGACTTCCTGTTCTGCTTTTCCCAGCAAAAATTCAACTCTCGTAAGACGGCCCATAATTTGCTTCTACTGATTTTTGGCAAATCGTTGTCCTCTGAAAGTTCACTTAAAATTTTGTTTAGCGTTGGTATTTCTTTTTTAAAATAAAATGAGTGTACTTTTCTGCGAATGACATTTTTGAAGAAATCATCTATAACGACTTTTGACCTCCCTGTAGATGATTTTGGGGGATTTACAGTATCTTGTTCATTTTTTGTTTCCTTTAAAAGTCTGTAGATAGTCGATTTTCCAATCCCTGTCATTTTGGAACACTTTTCCACGATGTCGTCAACACTGTTGGTAGGATTTTGGTGTTTCAATGCATTAAATACATTTAATATAATAATCTTCTCATTCTGAGACAGCGCACATCTTTTCACGCGTTTAGCAGGTACGTAATCTGATAAGCTCGACATTTTACCCAAACAATATTATATCCACTGGCACAACAGTCACTAAACACAAGTCGAATTTTACTCTACTGCACTAGCACGTCTTCGTATATTCAGCTCTAAGACTTGATTGATCTGTCACAATACACTGGCTCCTGCCCTATGATGTATCCAGTAAAATATACTAATGTACACCCTGATTATACAATGTATATATATCATATATTTGCTTTGACAGTTTGCACATTATTTTGGTTAATTTACTGACCCTCCATAATTGATAACGTCAAAGTCCTCATGAAATTAGTGCGTGTGTGCTCTGCGCTGCTAAATTTACTAAACAATCCTCTAAATTCTTAGAAAAATATCTTATTATAGAAGGTATTTCATTATTCAGTTCTATAACTAATGAAGTTACATATCTATCAGATAAAACGCCTATAGAAGTATATTACGTAGTTGGAAATATTAAAATCACCAAATATCCAATAATACTAACTTGTCATCATTTAAAACATGAAAAAGAATAATTAAAAGATGTAGATTAGGAGAAATTTATATATTAAAACGTACGTGGAAAAATGGTTAAGATTATTTTAATAGAAAATATCAATTAAATGAGGAAAAACTGGGACAACTATTTGACTGAGGAATAAATATGCCTATATTTAAAAAATCCTTCTCGATTGCTCTCTATGTCCTAACGTTACATGGTATAGGTATTTGTTAACATTGCTTGCATCTAGAAAACTACCTGCGACTTCTAAATCCATCGCACTTCCCATATTGCCTTTGTATGAAAACTGGTACATATAAACGTCGGAATAGTTGGATTGTAACTTTGCATGCCTAATAGATGGGGTTATGAACAAGTCGTCACTGAAAAACTAAACAAAGGTTTTATTATGTTATCGATTATTTGGTTTAATTATTTGTATGCTCTTTAAACTTGGAAACGTTAATATGCAGCAACACATTGTGAAAGCAAGTTCTTTTTTTTTGGAAGATAGTTTGAGAAAACGATTTGAAGTTGTGATTTTTATTTCTTTTTTAGAAGTCACTTTAACGGAACATGGTAAAACAAAATTAGTGTAATTTCTGGCAGCCATTTCAATTTCTCAAACATGAGAAAATAAGACAGTGCCCCACATAACAAAATTGTGACTTCTTCTCAAGTCCATCCAATTTCCGAGGTCTAGTTACGTGTCCGTTCAGATTTCATGAAAGGTTAATAAGCTATTTTTTTCATTATTGAGAAATTTTTTGTTTTGAACTAGTAACAATTTCAATAAATACATGAAAAGCATCTTAAAAAATATATGGATGTTACCTTCACTACTTGCCCAGGATCGTCTTCAAATGTTCCGTCGGTGTAAATTTGCCTCAGTCTAGTGCCAGCTGTCAGTTTGTTTCTCTTTGGTCATATTGAACTGGTTTCTAATAAGGTTGGATAAATCACTGTCGAAATATTTCGCACGCACCTCAACATCTGAAGGATCTTAAAATATCGGTTGACATTTGTGGCAAATAATAATACGTTTCAATAAGTTTTCGTAATCTTACCACTATTCAAAAACAATAGTGCTTCCTCAGAGTTAAAGCCAATGATTATGGGAACTTGGTTTATGTTTCCTGTTCTAATGTCCTCATGAAATAAACCCGTGATGAGTGCTCCATCTAGACTAGCCTCCTCAATTACAGGCAGCCATATTAAACTTCCCAATAACGCAGACTCTTTTCCAACAGCAGCCTATGAAAATTTTTGCTATAGTGTATGATCTATATTTAGTTTTTAACTTCTTACTCATTACCAATCTATATAAAAAATGCATTCATTCAACTTACAGTAACTGTGTTGTTGTTTATGTTTGAAGCAGGAAAGCTTTGCAACAGTTCTAGTAATTCCGTTGAATTATCCGAAGTGAAACTTGGGTCCAAACTTCGAGCTAATTCGAAAGCGTAGAATCTTGCATAGTTTTGATGTGCCCACTGTGCTACTGAGGTACCACTTTGTAAAATAGCACCTCTGAATAAGCCTTTATTTCGTTGACTTACTAACTGTAATCCCACAGATGCCCCTCCGGCACTCTCACCAGATATCGTAATTTTTTCGGGGTCCCCACCAAATAAATGGATATTATTTTTAACCCACTGGAAGGCAAAATGTTGATCTTTTAATCCTAAGTTTCCTGGTATGACTCCGTCTTCTGTTGTCAGAAATCCTGAAAGAATATGAATTGAGACTAGAATAAATTGAGAATAAGATTATCAGAATTTTAAGAGTGAGTATTAATATCATTACCTGTTATTTTGTAATTACTATTTGTTCCAGAGGCTGATATTGTTTTCGAGGGGTATTAAATGTTATTATTATTTTATTTTATCTTTGTTTATAACGTATGAGGAATACGCTCCAAGTTTAAGGATAAGAAGAAATACAAATACATGGTAAAAATATAGGTAAAAAATTAAAAGTTAATATCGAAAACAATGTATACAGGGTGTCCGGCAAGTCGTTACAATAATTTTAGGACGTGATAGAATACGTGATTTCGAGTCGATTAAAACAAACATACCTATATACCAAGTATTACAATACTTGTGATTAATAATTTTTTAATATTTTTTAATTCAACCGCGCTTTTCTACAATTATTGAAGTGTAGAAGAAAAACAAGCCTTTTTATAACAAAACTTTCTATACCTATTTTAATGGAAATAAATGGATTATTTAATTTATTTAACCAATGAAATCCAAAGTGGCTTCGTTACCTACCTAGAACTTCATAAACATGGTATTTCTACTTTGTAAAAGCGAAGAGTTAAATTTAAATGTGGATTTTATTTAAACTTTTGTGTGTGTAGGTTTATTCAGATATTATTAAAAACTTACCTAAGCAATGCTCTTTTAGTTCTTAGGAAAAGTTTCTTGATAAACATTCAAAAAATTAGGGAAATTAATCTTAACACGTTTAAGTATGCAGGGAGCGCATTCGCCAAAATAGAGGACAGCTGTTTAGTATGTAATAAAAATGGTTTAAGAAATGCAGACATTTGCTAACAAGAACGCAACTCTTTACAAAATATCGAAGTTATTAAAATACCGGAGGATTTAAAAAGCTAAATATTTATTTCNAAAGAGTTGCGTTCTTGTTAGCAAATGTCTGCATTTCTTAAACCATTTTTATTACATACTAAACAGCTGTCCTCTATTTTGGCGAATGCGCTCCCTGCATACTTAAACGTGTTAAGATTAATTTCCCTAATTTTTTGAATGTTTATCAAGAAACTTTTCCTAAGAACTGAAAGAGCATTGCTTAGGTAAGTTTTTAATAATATCTGAATAAACCTACACACACAAAAGTTTAAATAAAATCCACGTTTAAATTTGACTTTTCGCTTTTACAAAGTAGAAATACCATGTTTATGAAGTTCTAGGTAGGTAACGAAGCCACTTTGGATTTCATTGGTTAAATAAATTAAATAATCCATTTATTTCCATTAAAAAAGGTATAGAAAGTTTTGTTATAAAAAGGTTTGTTTTTCTTCTACACTTCAATAATTGTAGAAAAGCACGGTTAAATAAAAAAATATTATAAAATTAATTATCACAAATATTGTAACACTTGGTATATAGGTGTGTTTGTTTTAATCGACTCGAAATCACGTATTCTATCACCTCCTAAAATTATTGTAACGACTTGCCGGACACCCTGTATAATATTATGTTGAGGATACAATGAAAAAAACATAAAAAGTTATAAAAAAGAAATAAATAACAAAAAATTAGAGAGCAAATATAAAAATGTGGAAAATTAAATAATAAAATTAATAAATAAAAAAGTACTAGATGTTTTAATGAATCAATATTTGAAAAATGTCGGTTAAAATTATCTAACTATAAGTCTAACTTACTATTAAATATACTATATAGAGAACATTTAAACTGTTCGTTCTCGGTATTGGTAAATAAATGACACTGCAATGACGGGTTTATTCAAGGTAGGTACATAAAAATTTCAGCCTTGTATACTTTCGATTTTATTTTATATAATTCCATAATAAAAATTTCACGTATATTTGTAATCTATGTCATTAAGAATAAAACGGAATAGCAAGTTTCCTTGTGGTATACAGGATGTTGCAATATGCAAAAAATGTAATGTTATGTCATTTAGTAGACAAATACACCCATTGAGCTTTGGTTACCACATTAATGATGGCCCACCCTCATCAAAGATTTAGGGATTGTATTTGATTGTAAGCTTTCGTTTGTTGAACATATTGATAGGATTTTGAAGACCTCATACAAAAATTTAGGGTTCGTTATTCGAAATGGTAGAGATTTCTTGGATAGTACATTATTTATTTTATATAATTCGTTTGTGAGGTTTGGAATATGCATCTATTGTGTGGAACCCGCTCTATACAGTTCATATAAATAATTTGGAGAACATACAAAATAAGTTTTTAAAGTACTTATTTTATATAGAAAATTCGTATTACCCCCATTAATTTTCCTCAGAACCTTCTGTTAAATCACTTTGGCGTGAATTCTTTGCGATCTAAAAGATCAATGCACTCGATCATTTTTTTGCATAAGATAATCCAAAACAACATTGATTGTCCATAGATATAATTAACTTTAATGTGCCTAGGTTAACTTCGCGTTCTCTTGCAACCTTCTGTTTGCCTATCCCTCGCACAAATCTCCTAAAAGCTTCTCCATTGTTTCAGACATGTTCAAACTATACAAAAATTGCACATATTGTAGATGTATTTAATTGTACCATAAATGAAATTAAAGAAAACACCAAGTATACATATTTTGAGCATGACCTAAATTAACCAAATATAAATGTGTTATTAATAGGTTGTTTGTATATTACTTATACTGCGTATCTTTCTGTCTTCTCCATGTTATTTGTCACATGTTTGTCTTATATTTACTTATTATACAGGTTTAATCTCTTTTTTCATTTTGTATTTCTCTATATTGTAATTATTCTTTGTACTCCCATTTCGTAACTGGAATTTTGTTTCTGTGGAATGGTGTATCCAAAATAAATAAATAAATAAAGAAATAAATATTGAGATGATAATGTATAATGATATGATGACATTAAAATTCATAATGGTAGATGTACCCATTTTAGCTATTCAAGAACATTTTTTTGAATTTTATTAAGGTATGTAATGAAATGGTTAGTTCCGTTTTTCTCGGAAATGGAGCATTTTATCGAAATAAATAAAGAGTACTTTTTTTGTAAAAGAAATGAAGATATATCATATGTTGGCATTTGAATTTGAATATTTCGACAAGCAAAAAAATAGGGGCTAATTTTAGCCGACGACCACCCCCAATTTTTGAAAAATTTTATGATTTATTTCGACTTTTAATAAGCGTTCATGGTGTCAAAATTTATAATTTCTTTCCAACCCGTTTCGGGAATATTTAATAAAATTAATTTTTTGATGCCCCATTTAGGGGGGCGTAGCTCCCTTAGAAAGCATTTCTTGACCCATATTTATATGAAAAAATATTCTTATTTTTGGCACTAGAATCAAGTGGTAAATTGTTGGACACTAATTATGAGACACCCTGTATATGATTGCCACCGGTCTATATAGTTACTTACGTCAAGTTTGTATCTGCTAAATTCGGGTATAAATACGTGAGCCAGTGGCGGAGATACTGGGGATTACTTACACTAAAATCCTCAGAAATTGAACGCTACTGAACATTTTGATAATTCTATAACTACTAGAAAATATTTCAGAAATGGTGATTTTTTAAAATTTCAATACTGTATCTCGAAAACTATATATTGAGCTGAATTTAGATGTTTTCCAAAGGTTAAGAACAATTTTCGATTGGAGACTTAAACAACTTTGGAAAGAGTTTTGCAAACACAAACATATAATCACGTGTTTAATATCTTAATATATATAAAATTCTCGTGTCACAATGTTCGTTCCCGTACTCCTCCGAAACGGCTTGACCGATTCTCATGAAATTTTGTGAGCATATTGAGTAGGTCTGAGAATCGGCCAACATCTATTTTTGATACCCCTAAATGTTAAGGGTGGTCCACCCCAAAATTTTTTTTTTTTTTTTTGGACAAAATTTTCTGTTTTTATTTTTTCATGATTCAGCATTGAAAAATACATACAGTTCTAAATTTTCACCCTNACCTATTCATTAACACCCTGTATATATATATAAGAGTTTATTATGTCAGTTGGAAATTATTGTATAATTATTTTTTCTTCTTGAAATAAGTCCAGAATTTGTTTAATTTTCTTTTTAATTTCGTTTTTAGTCTTCAGTAAAAAAAAATGAAAAGTGCTATTACATCTATATTTTATATTACTTGTTAATATCTTAAAATTGTCATATCCCCAATTTTTTTATATTTTTTTTGTAAAATGACCAATTATACTAAAATATGTATATTATAAATAAATAAATTGATAAATATATAATAATGCTTATAGAAACCGTTCGTCTTATTTACCGACATGGTCCTCCTGCTTGGGATATTCTTTTCGAAAAACGTACTTGACCAATTTTGCACTACTTCAGTTGTATCATTATCTCTAAACTTTTAGCTCTACAAATGTTCTTTTAACGGTCCTAACTAATGTAAAATAGTGATAATGTCATTATTGTTATTTTTTTTATTAAAAGCGTTTCATATTTATTAGTTACCTAGAGCTACTACACGGTAGTTTATGGTGACAACAACAATATCATGGTCAATGACGAATCCAGGTTTGAATATCTGAATAGCACCAGTTCCAGTTTCAAATCCACCTCCGTGTATCCATATTAACACCGGTAATGGGGTTTGTGAAGTTTGTCCAGGTTTCTATAAGAAAATATGCATAGGTAATTACGATATCTGAAAAATAATTGTAAAGTAACTACAACTTTAATATTTAAAGGAGTATAATTTTACTGAAGCTACCTACACCTGCATCAATCACATTTTTACATAGCTTTATTATCATGTAAATAAAAAATAAATGTTTTTGGCCACGAATGCACCGCTCCTTAAGCTTATAATTATTCATGTTTTATTTTTTTCTTTGAATTTAACCAAATAATAGTAATAGTGATAGACATCAGCAAAAATAGTGTGATATCAATGTCCAAAATTGTTGATATTTAAATGACTACAGTATCAGCTAATTATTGTAACTATCTTCCATCTTACCAGAGGAGTGTAAACATTCAAGTACAAACAGTCTTCCGTTGGATTTAATTCGGGAATCGGTATGTAGACGTCTCCACCTTGGTAACAAATTTTTTCATTTTTCGTTGTGTTTAATATTCCTTCCCATTTAGCTAGCGCTACTGGTGCCTAAAAGTGAATTGAAACGTTAAAAGTAAAAAGTAAAAGAGTATATACTATTATGATTATTTGATATTAGATTATGGTTGACTTTATAATTTTTTATATTTGTTTGAAATATAATTATGCTGGGCGCCTTTTTACTTTTATTTTTGTGTTGTTAATTGATTGTGACTCTCTCAGTGTGTGGGTTCCTATGTTTAGTTTTATATCCTGATATATTTTGAATTTAATTTTGAATCTGTTGAGATTATTTTCTAATTTCTTAAATAAAAGATGTACTTATTTAATTTAACAAATTTCAATATATTAACAGAATTTGGCAGGTTATGGTTTTGTCACAATGTACAATAATTGTTGTAATGCTTATACTAAATTATTAAATAACAAATTTCCCTTTTATATTTATACTACAATAGTGCATGAGTGTATCTCTACTGTCTGTAGTTCAATTAAAATTTTGCTATATAGCTCTTTGTTTATTAAATTTGCAAATTTGCTTATTACATGTCGACACTTACAGTGAAATATTTCTTTTTGACTTTTCCATCAGTATGTAACTACGCTGTGTTGCGAAATCTGCTGCATGTAGTCGCGCTGTTCCAGTATTACCTCGTTGGTTTGACGTCTCGCAGCGGAAACTCCCGAAGTATCCTTTGTGATGCCACAGGAACTTTTCCAAGTGAAAACAACACTACACTATATCTTTAAAATTACACTTACGTCATCTTTTTTTTTAATTTTTACAAATTCACCTCGTATCAATTTGTTGTTGTTTTATTAATTGCTTGTAGAGACTGCTGAACGTATTTTCGGGTTAATGTCACTTCCAGTATTGTAACCTTCGGACTTTTGACTGTCTAGTTTTGTTATGCCATTTATTCACAAAAATGGCTGCGAGAGTATACTGATTTTTAATGATTTGTTGATAATAATCGATAGCACTTGTTTTTAAGGAGGAAAACTTACGATGTTGCTGCTACAGGTAAACATGAGAGACTGGCTACCTTGAGCCCGGATATTGGTTTTATAGAATGTGCAAAACAATTGAAATTTACTGTGACAACATAACAAACAAATTTTTGGAATTTTATTTTTGCAAAAACTGACTTTTTAATGGACTTGTGATGCATGAACTTTTCATTTTCAGATTCTTTGCATTTTCTGCGTCTTTTGACACTAATTACACCTTTCTAGGTTAAGTTGAACGTTATGTCAAAATGTTACATATTTTTACAAAATTCACTTTAATTTTGATACATGGACAAATTCTCAGCATGTCTGTCCTTTATATGCCTTTAGTACTATATATTAAACACCTTTTACACAGTCTTTATTCGTTTTTTCAGATATAAACGAAATAAAGTTTTTAGCACTCCGCTCCGACAATCATTTTACAGACTACGCAATAAATTGACCTTTGGTTGGAGTTTAAACACATTATATGGAATGATGATGGTCTCTTACATACTGCACACATGATTTTGCAGTCTAGATGCACATTTATATTAACAAATTTACAAGATTTTAACGGAACAATAACTGTCAAGATTTATATGCTACTTAAAATGTTTTCACCAATGCATAGGTTTGATTCCACACACATATTCTACCTCCAGGTACACTATGCTTTATTTCCATATCAGTTTTATTGCATGGATCAAAAATATATGTGAAATACCTAACGTAACGTCAATGTCTTGTCAAAATTTCACTATAATGATTAAATGTCCTCATGCCAGAACTTATATTTGACTTTTAACATTGTAGCATTGTTCTTTAATGTTCTGTGCAACATAATTGTACAATATGAGTGCATTTACATAATTTATTGAATATACAAATTCAAATTTAGTTATAACTTTGACAGCTTTGACGTTTTGTTGTGAAATTTCAATCATTTACAAATTTTATTACTTATATTATCGATATATATCCTTCATTTAAGTCTATGATAGTAGGACATATCCTGCTTTTGACTATTTTAAATATATCTCATATCAGACTTTGTATTAATTCGATACTGTTTCGTATCGGTACCGATAAAATTATATTCAAAATTTCTAAATCAATAAAACATAACAATACGTTTTCATCCTTACTTGAAATCTTAATGCGCCTACAGGTGGAGCTGCATACGGTACTTCTTGAAATGCGTAATAAACATTGTCGTTTGGAGACCGCAGGGCTTGACCTCTTATTTGGCCCTCTGGTAAAGTGACAAGTGTCGGGTCATCTACCTATTTATGAAGAAATATGTTATATTTGTGGTACTTTAACTAGGTACATAGATATTGTAACGAAATTTTTATTAATTTCGTTTCATTTATTTTATTCACACTGTCTAATGTCCCTTTTAATATAACATCTATATTTACTCCAAATTATCCCACACTAACATTCGTGAACGACCGTATTGGGGAACCCGTCCCGCATCTAACGTAGATGGCGCGGTACTACTGGAATTGTAACGAGCGTTCAAATAAAAACGTGGTCGAAGTTGGCTCTGACACATTGGACGTAGGGAGTAGCTTATAGCGACCAACTTAACCTCATTTCTCAACGAGCTGTATAGCAGCTGTCAGTTTCAATAACGTTAATGACTATATAACTTTATTTTAAAGAATAATCGTGATAACAATAACAAACAATTAAAGGAGCTGCGGAAAGTGTCCCCCTCCTTGTTATAACAATAAATTAAAGCAGCTGCTGAAAGTGTCCCCCTCCTTGTTCCAAGCACTTTTCACACCTGTTCCTCAAAGAATTAAAGACATTTTCTAAGATGCTCGGGGTATTGTTAATTTCACGAATCTTGTCTATAAGTCGAGCCTGCAGATGGTTTAAATCAGGAATAGGCAGTTCAAAAATAGTGTTTTTAAGGTAAGGCCACAAAAAGAAATCACACGGCGTAATATCACATGACCTCGGTGGAAATTCATGTTCAGCATTGAGACTTATTAGTCGATTTTGGAAAACTTCCCTCAACATATTCATCGTCTCGCCTGCCGTATGTGCCCTTGCGCCATCTTGTTGAAAGTAAAAGTTTGTAATTTCGTTTTCTTCCAGCTGGTTAACAAAAGGAGCGATAATTTCTTCTCTATACCTTTGCGCAGTAAGAGTACCATTAAAAAAAATAGGTCCATAAATCCTCCTTCGATTGAGAGCACACCAAACTCCAATTTTTTGAGCGTGTAGAGGGCCCTCGACAAAAAAGTTATCTGGTTTTTCAGAAGACCACATTCTCATATTCTGTGAGTTTACGTAACCACTTAAATGAAACCAGGCTTCATCAGAAAAAAAGGTGATATTATGAAGTTCACCGTAGTTGTTTAAAAACCATTCACAAAATACAGCCCGTCGCGGAAAATCAACTTCATGAAGTTCTTGCTGACAAGTTAAACGATAGGAGAACAAACGCAAATCTTTTTTTAACACTGTGTGGCAGGTACCGACTGATACTCCCACCATTTGTGATAAAACACGTACAGAAGTTCTTGGCGCATTTTCCATTATTTGTTGGACATTTTCTTTTAATTCTTCAGTCCGCTTTTTAGGTCGGCCGCTTCCTTCTTTTCTTGTTACACTGCCCGTTTCACGAAAAACATTAACACAACGCTGAACTGCACTTTGAAAAATTTTGTACTCAACAACGCCGGGAAATTGATTTTGAAATTCTATGAAACATTCCTCAATAGAATACTTCCATATTCCATCAATCTTGCGTCCATTTCTAAAGTAGGACTCTATGATAAACACTTTTTGTTCTTGAGAAAACACCATTTTAAACGCTTTTTAAAACGAAAATATTCAAATTGATAGCGGCGATATAGCGCTTTGACAGATGACCTTTAAGTTCATTTGCTATACGCTACGCCCTACGTCCAAATTTTCAGAACCAACTTGACCACGTTTTTATTTGAACGCTCGTTATAAGAGGTGACGGCCTACACTCTCGCTCTCTTGAAAAATTGTCATCGAACCGAGCAGATCGTATTTCGCGAGACCCATTAAATTTTTATCGTGGAAGAATTCAGAACATTTTCAATTTGATATGTAAATGTGGTTTCTTTCCTTTTAATTAACTGTTTAGTATTTGCCTTGCTTTTTAATATTTTGCTAACGCTTGTAATCTTATTTATTTAATGTAGGTCCACTTTGGCCTCCATTTTGGTCAAGGGCACGTGGCGAGAAAAAGATCCACGAGGTGTCTTGGCTTTGTTATCTCTTCGTTTAGTCAAGTTTGAGAACCCGTTCTGTTGTTTTTTGTGCTTTCAGATTATTTGATCGGGACATCGCCTGATTTTTGACGATTGCACAAAGGGTGGTTGAACTTCCGATTTATTCGCAGACTTGCAGAGTTTTCTCTGGGCCCCTGGCAAATTACACAGTCTGGATCGGAAATGGTTGGCACACGATCCTAAGGAATTGATTGAGGTAAGTTTCTTTTATTGTTTTTTTTTAATAAAGGCAGCTTACTTCATCAGTTCTTGTGACCACCTTTTTTGTAGTCGTATTAATGTCAGGGATGTAAAACTGCATTAAATGCATTTTATCTTCTGTTTCTGTTTTTTTTTTGATTATAAGTTTTTAATTCAAGCTGTCGCAAAATTTTATCTTATATCTTTTACCTGAATATAATTTATTATACCACATTTTCATACACACCATATTGAAAAGGTCAGATAAAGAAAAGAAAATCTGATTCCTATTTTACTATTACATGGGCTGTTTTCTTTTTATTTTTGCTATAAATTTAGATATCCACGATACGATCTGGTTGTCTTCGATTTATCTTTTGTGTAAATTTATTTAGTAAATTCTTGTTAACAATTTCGATATGTAAACTGTTCGTTTTAAAATATTTGAAAGATTTTGAATTAATTATTGCATAGATTCTCAAATACTGTAGATTCTTTTTTCCCCGTTAGTATAAATTCAGTTAACTTTTCACCATCCTTAGTTTAGATTTCATCGTACTAATTATAACAATAGTATTAAAATAATTAAATTTAACATTAATTGTAAATATTAAATTTAACATTAATTGTAAATATTAAATTTAACGAATTTTATATTACATTTTATCTCATAATCACCGACAACCAGACTGAGTATTTTCTAACACTCATCCGTTGTAAATATCCTACTTGCTTATATTTTTATTCTCTGTTTTCCAAAATTGCAACACATCACCACACCACGGATCTTCTGACCAAGACAACATATTATTGGATCCAGGGCTTCTAACCATCACCATCTTTGGGATGAGGTTGTCATGGAGTCTGTCACCCGATAACCAACTGGCCATCTCCATCTGACGGATGACCATAACGTCAACACCCCCTTAGATTCCGGACAAACTAGCCAGAATAAGACCCATCTATTCTACCCAAATCTTGTCAGAAGTGATCTCCACACCATTATTGTTGCTTTTTTAAACCGTATAGTCAAGTAGAGATATCGAATCGAAAGGCAATCTGATGTGTCATCTGTTGTCGGACATTTTAAAATTAAACCTGATTGTAATTTGATAAAAAATTGCTGTTATATTTTTTTTTTGTAAAATTTAACAATTCACTAACTTTACATTGTATTAAATCGATTTTAACAATATTTTGTTTAAATCTTGTTCCTTCCTCATAGTTTAAGAGTGTATATACACATTCATATCTTTGTACTACACCCCACGACCTTGTGATCTCACTGCACCCGATTGTAACTTAGCTGGATGCATCTTTTTAAGTGTACTTGGGTTTTGTAACCATTATCCCAAGGAGTTATTAGTCCACGTGGACAAATAATAAACAACGTTACAATATTAATAACTATTTTGTACAGAAAGACATTTCAAATTTACAATACATGGATATATTTAAGTAAGCCAATAATTACTTACATCCGCTGCAGATGATCTTATTGCGCATAAAATCAGTAGCAGCAGCCCGTTGCACTTCATGATTTCGAACTAATAACGATAACGAACATGCTTTTCAATTTATAGAATCTGGAACTGGTAATTTTTTATTCGGTTAAAATTCAAGTGTTCGACTTTTGCACATATTTTTTGCGGTACTCGTAGTTTTATCTTTATAATAATATTTTTTTATAAAGAACATACGACAATAGAAAAATTATTATATCAGCACTTTAAATTAAAGTGGTTTTAACTGATTTGCAATTTGCATGGATTACACAGAAACCGGTGACTAGGCAAATTTTGAAACATTTTCTATACATACCAAAAACAAATTTCCCACAAATCATCAGCAAAATATTGTCATGGCATATGTAAAGTTTATCTAAATGAAATGGTACCTTCGAAGTTTTATCTAACTAATATTACAATAAGTCGAGGCAATGAAGCACTAAAAAGGCCAAAAGTTCGGATTTTTTTGCACTAAGACGGATCGAAATGCGTTTTTTTTGCATTCGCTTCCAAAAATTTTTTGTAAAAAATGTATCTACTTTGTATCTTATACAAACCGGAAATTGCATTGCTGCAGCCAAAAATGCATTAAAAAAATGCATTTTTTGAGACGGCTTTTGGAAGATCGGAACTGGTCCAAATCGGGTTCCCGGGGGTTTTCGAGGTCGCTGATCACGATTATGATGTTCAAATTGACCCACGGCGATGAATGTCATCTCCGTGGGACTCTCCCAAAATTCACGCGGGGAAGGAGAGAAACTCGGCGCCCGGGACTTTTTTGGGTCGCTGAATTCAAATATGGCATCCGCAAACACCTGGTGCACCGGAACCTGGACGTGGACGTCGTCTCCGAGAGTTTTCCTGACAAGATTGCCAAAAACAACCCGAAAATCATTGTGGGGGCGGTTTTTGGAGCGCTGAATCCAAAGTTCACGTCGAAAACAACCCCCTGAACACCTGGTGCACCGGAACCTGGAGGCGAACCTCATCTCCGAGGATTTTCCTCACACAATCGAAAAAGACGAACCGAAAATCGTTATGGGTTTTTTTTTGGCGCTGAATCCGAATTTCACGTCGAAAACGATCACCCGAACGCTTGGTGCACCGGAACCTGGCGCTGAACTTCGTCTCCGAGGGTTTTTCAGACACGGTCGCAAAAAACGGAGTTTTTTTGGGGCGCTGAATCCAAATTTCACCCCGAAAACGTACCTCCGGACCGGTAAGCGCATCACTTGAGAACGGCTGGACTTATTTGGTTAATTTCTTTGTGTTCATAATAGTGCGAATGAGGTTTTTAGGGAAAGAAAATTTGGAAAAGTTGTCCGGAAAATTGGAAAATTCTGGAAAAACTGAAGGTGCTGGTCACAAACGAATTTGTAGGGTCAGGTAGTTGTACATAATTTTTGAACTTTGCAAATACTTCCGAGTTTTTACTCCAACCCGCAGTTTTTCTAATATCGTCGATGGACAGATCTTTCCTTTCCGCAGAGCTCGAAGCGTGTCTAGTAGAATTTGCCTTAAATAGCGACACATCTACCCTAGCTGCTTGTAAAGTATTCTTTCACAGCGACATAAGGTTGATGTGGATTTTTGTATGTGAGAAAAAACCAGTCATATTCTGGAGGTCAAATATTTCTTGTCATACTTTTTGAGTTAACGAAGCCACGCATAATTTGAGATTTTGTTAAAAAAATGGCAATTTTATGCATGGCTTAGGTCCCGACGTCTTTGTTAGATCTGAAATGAAAATGGTAACATCTGCGTTCGATGACTTTATATGACTGCAGTTTATCAACGGAATATTTTGCAATCTGTGGCCAGTTGCCAAAGCTAATAACACGACCAATTTTTCTGATTGCTTTAAGTTGTCGTCAGAGCCCTTTTCCAAGTATGACAAAACTTGTTGCGGATCCCACACGAATTCATACCTAGGTTGAAAGGGTCTCATCCTAGAAACGCCTTTCAGAAATCTTTTGAGATGTAGATCACTACCAATATCCTGTGATGTTGTTAATGACAACGCCGCTCTGTGGGAGTTGAAGGACCCGAATTGTTATTAGTTGTGTCCAGAACATTTTGAAAAAATAACATTATATGTGAAATTTCACACTGATATGGTGAACTGTTATTAAGTACACAAAAATTCCATCAAATGTATGAATGTAGTATTATGCTGACTAATTGTGGAATCTGCCAATTCATCATTGTGTTTATTCTTCCTGGAAAATTCCATTTCAAAAAAAATTAAAACAAGTGAAATAATGGATTTTCCAGAATTGACCGAGGAAGATACCAAAATTTTTTTACTGGTACTTACCAATTCCAACAAGCTGTTTCCTACCTAGCATAAATGATAGACGAAGAAAACGAAATAAACATGCAATATTTAAAAGAATCGCCAAATATAATTAAAGCTCACGTTCCATCTCATCATGTATCTAGGAGAACCTAAAATTGTTACATTAATTATAATCCAGATACAATTGGATGTAGTAGAACCTTTCGATATTGCTGTAACTGTGCAAATAGATTGAGAACAATAGAGTGTTGCTCTCATGTATCTCAAGCGCGTTACAAAACTAAAATTATAAGACCTGTTGAAATATTAACTAAAATTTTTGAAGAAGAGGGTGTAACACCAACCATTAATGAAGACAGTGATGATGATTTAAAATAAATAAATTAAATGTGTGTCATAGTAAGTACTAATAGTTTCTATAGTAAAATTATACATAATGATTTCTCTGTGTTCTATTTTTATAAACAACATTTACATTGTAATTATAAAAAATTATTATTTAAAATATAATTGAATTTTTATTTAAAAAAATGGCTTTTTTATTCCATCTGACATTATTCGACACTAGCTGTTTGACGTTCCGCTATTCCTGAGAGCTTATAAGATACCTAAATTATCTTCCAGGTAAAAGATTAAGAAAAAGCAAATCCCAACGATGATTAGTTCCGATAAGTCCTGCCCTTTAAAATGGTTTATCGTTGTCATTGTGGTTAATTTTCACGTTCCATCGACTTTAAAAACCTGAAAAACATTCAGAATACTTTTTTCAATAAATAAAGGGAGAAAAACCCGCATTTTTAGCGGGTCAGAGGGCTCTTGGTAGCGAATTAGGCCGAAAAAGGCCTAAAAACATCGAAAAATGCAGTTTCTTATTTATTTCACCATGTTCCACCAATTTTAAAAATCTGAAAAAATTCAGGGGAAATACTTTGAGCAAAAATACACATTACATTTTTTTCCGAGTCAACCATACTTTTACTTTTTTAAATTAATTTTTCAAGTTTTAAAATGCATATAAAATTTTTGCTTTTGGGCTGGGAGTTTCGAAAAAAATATCACTTTGTAGGCCCAAAAAAAAACTTTAATTTAAAAAAAAAATCGTTAAATTTAGTGTTAGGTGAGCCGAGGTATGGCTAAAATACGGAAAAACACAAAATATTATTTTTGAGGTTAGATTTGCATTTTTTGGGCTGAAAATGTACACAGATTTTTCATGCTGAACATGCCAGTATTTTTTTCGTCTCGATTCAAAGCAAATTCAGGAACTTCACTATTTTCATCACTACCTACTAATTGACGTGTGTAGTCCATAATTCAGTGTATTTTTATATTATGCGATGATTGACAGGAAAAATAGAAATAGAACTCCGCTGTTTAACATATTACATTTTCACATCGGCACTAGGTATAAAAAATTGTTGCTGGTTTTTCAAGTTGGCAAACCAAATTCATATTGTTATTATCTGATTTGTTAGATTCTATCCGCATATATAATTTTAAAAATCGAGCTATTTCCATATTATATTTTTACTATACTTAATATATAATATACTATAATATATGTATTTGTTTAGAAAATCGAATGGTCAACATATGTATTTATTTGTCGTAAATTTCTTTTATTAGAAATAGTTAATGATTTTTAATTAGTAGGTACGATTAAACACCTTCTAACTTTGAATTTATCTTTTCATAATCGAAAATTTAAGATGTACTATTGGTATTACTTAATTTGAGGAGAGTCTTGAGACATGACTATCATCATTGATGTAGTCAGTCAAATATTTTGACATACCACCATACCACCTACCACTTCTATATGTCCTTTTGTTTAGAAGCTAAACTTATCATTTTTTTTCATATTTATATCCTTGAGATCATGTTCTATAGAAATACGATCATATTCCCTACGATATTTTTAAAAAATTACATTCAACCATATTTTTTTCTCATTGATGTTGTAAAATCATTTATTTCTCATATAATTAAAATACAGCAAAATACAATAAAATATAATAAAATACAACAAAATACAATAAAATACAATAAAATTACTAGTAAGTATACATAGGACTTTGGGCATATTTGTCCACGATTGTCTTGTACTTCTGGTATTGTCTGGGGTTTGTTTTCACTTCAAGAGTTCTGTTAATATTCAAGTAACTGATCTTGTCTGAAGTTACTTTTGGCCATACAATATTGTTAAATAGTGGATCAGCTTCGGGAGTTGGATTCCTACAAGTGACATTAATAAATATAAGTACAATATTCTGTCTTAGCCATGATTTTGACATTGGACGTTCCCATATCACATATGTTTTAGTAGAAAATTGAGAAAAGAAATTTTGCAACGACACATAACAACAAAAAAATGTCTCCTTAAAAATAATGAAAAAATAACTCTCATAAGTAATTATGCATTAGTTGTCCTAAAATATAACCTATCCATTTGATAAATGGGAGGATATAGGTACATAATATCTACATCGAAAACAAAAATATGTATTTTTGAATTTTATTAATATTTGCAATTTTAACGTTCTCCTCGTTACATAATAATATGTCACTATTAAAATTCTCACAAAATTAATAAGTACTGTGAAAAGATATACAGGGTGATCACAGTTAAGGTCATGATGGTTCTAACTTGCCGTGATTTTTTTTTGGAAGCGTTTATTCGGAAAATGCCTTGAGATTTTCTTTTTACAAAAAAAATTTGGCTACGTAGCCCCAATCAACATCACTTGGAGCTCTGATTTCATCAATTTATAAGTATAATATTCAT